CCGACATAGCCTTCCATTGTGGGCCGACTTGGGCTTCAACTATGGGCCTCGTTCGGCTTCAAATATGGCTATATTTGGGTTTCCAATATGGGCCTATTGGGGCTTTGTTTATGGTCTCCACTATGGGCCGATTTGGGATTGGGCTTCCACTTTGGGCTGATTTGGGCTTGTGCTTCCACTATGGACCGATTTTGGTTGGGCTTCAAGTGTGGCCCGATTTGGCTTGGGCTTTCACCATGGGCCAATTTGGGCTTCACTACGTGGGCCGACTTGGGCTTCATGGGCCGACTTGGGCTTCATGGGCCGATTTGGGCTTCACTCGTGAACCGATCTGGGCTTCAACTATGGGCCTTTTTGGTCCTCCATTATGGGCCATTTTGGCCTTCCACCATGGGCTTAGTTGAGCTTCTTTTGTGGGCCAATCTGGGCTTCCACTATGGGCGTATGGGCCATGATTTCATTATGGGCTGGGCTTTAACTTTCTTGAAGTGACAAACAACGGAATTCATTTAATTTCCAACCATTATAATTATAAATGCTTTATTCTAATTTCATTAAAATATTTTTTTAAAAAAAATTAATTTAATTATCTTATAAATAATACCTGAAAATCATTACAAAAACTCTTACATCTAAAAATAAATAATAAAAAATAAAAAAAGAAAAGATCTTCCATCTCGTCCTTGGTACGACCGGAGGCATTCATAGGCTAGATTTTATCAAATCGAGCATGGTGATAGTTTAGACTATTCCTAATTATTCGGAGAATTGCGGGTAAAAACGAGACATTTCAATTCATTTTTAATTTGTTGGTTAAAAAATTATATATACATTCACTAAGCTAAAGTAAGCTAAAGAAGAGTATATTAGTGGGAGGGGCATTTAGGGGGCATATATTTGTACAAAATTAATTTATTTCATTCCCTTCATGTTCTCCAAAATTTTCTCCCTATATTAAATATATAATTAATATTTTCAATAACTTAAAACCCCCCATCATTTCCTCTTTTATTTTCCCTACTTTAATTTTCTCTGAGTAATTTCCTCAAATTTCATATTGATAGAAGGAAAACCCAAGATTACCCCTGCCAGTTCGGTGCAAAAAGGAAATCCACACGAGGACAAAACAGTCAATTCACTATAATTTGGCGCCAAATTCGTCTCCCATTCATGGCGGGAAGAAAAAAATGGTCATTTTTATAAAGCAAAATTAGGACAAATAATAGTAAAATTAAATAAAAATAATTAATGGGTTATGATTATAACCAGCCCACTAATCCCTCTCCCTTAATTCTTAATTTTTTTGTTGGCCAAAAAAGAGGAAGCTCAGGAGTTACACTAACTATCAATCTCAGCCGTTGGATTATCCACAAGATCAACGGCTGTAAAGCTGCATGTCTCATGACAAAAACCCCTTCACTCTCTTCATTCCTTTCTATCTCTCTCTCTCCATAAACATATTTCAGGCGAAACACAAAATCAGAGGACAGAGAAACATGCAGAGCAACGCGCCGCCGTCGGGTCCGCCACTAGCAGCCATAGATCGATTTCTCTACAGCCACAACGTGAACGGAAATTGCTTTGAGAATGGGTTGATGGGAGGAGGGTTGTCGCCGGAAAGTTGCGGCGGCGAGTGGTTTGAAACGGACGGGAGGCTGCGCGTGGAGGAAGCATTACGATTCCAATTAGAATTAGAATTAGAGGAATTAGAAGAAGAAGAAGAAGAATTCGAAGAAATGTACGGATGGGGAAGAAGAAAGGAAGGAAAGTGTGAAATGGGTCTGAAGGAGGCCATGGTTTCACCAAATCATGAAGGGAAAATTTGTTCCAAACTCAAGAAATTAAAGAAGCCTTCTTCTGCAATTCTCATTAAAGGACAGTGGACTGAAGAAGAAGACAGGTGATCTTCCTTACCATTTCTTTCTAATATTACCTACATATTAATAATAATAAAATATTACATATATACATATATATATATATATATTGTAATTTATATGTATTACAGGTAGGAATGGAACCAACAAGCTTCCGTCATATATTGTAATTTTTTTTTTTTTTTTTTATAGTTTATATATTATAGATAGAGATCGAACAAACTAGCTTTGATCATATTAGTATTTTCATTAAAGTTTCGATAATATATATATATATATCTTTGTAGTTTATATATTATAGATAGGGATCGAACCAACAAGCTTTGATCTTATTAGTATTTTCATTAAAAAAATTTATTTATTTTTTATTTTTTTAGTTTATATGGTATTTTCAAATGGATAGGATTTTTTTAATTAAAAATATATATATATTATGATTGTTGTGGTTATTATTAGAGGAAATAACAATAATAATAGTTTTTTTTTTTTTTTTTTTTGGTAATGTGTTTGAGAAAATGAAGGAAATTGACAAGGCTGGTGAAGCAATATGGAGTGAGAAAATGGGCACAGATAGCTGAGAAATTGGAGGGCAGAGCTGGAAAACAGTGCCGTGAGAGATGGCACAATCATTTGCGTCCTGATATTAAGGTTTTTTCCCTTTTTTTTTAATTTATTTATTATTTTTTGTATTTAAATATTATATACATACATACATACATACATACATATATATATTGTTCATAATATTTTGTGAGATCCATAATTAATTTAGTCAAGAAAAGCTTCACACAATTAAATATCTTTTTGTGGTTTCAACATTTTCAAAGCTTTTCTTCTAACAATTTACCATCTATATATTCCACCACTTATTCATGCCATTTTTTTTTATGAAATATAGACCTAATTTTTTCTGATGTAATTTTTTCGATAATATATATATGTCGAGATATTATCTATTATGAGTATAGAGTTAGTTGGTCATGTTTTTGATTAGTGGGTCGTGTTTTCTGTGATCAGTTTGAAGTGTTTTGATGAACTGTAATGATGACAATTACGTTGAATAATTTACTCGTTTTTTTCAGAAAGAGAGTTGGAGTGAAGAGGAGGAGATGATACTCGTGGAAACTCATGCAAGGGTTGGTAATCGTTGGGCTGAGATAGCAAAAAGCATTCCCGGAAGAACAGAAAACGCCATAAAAAACCATTGGAATGCTACAAAAAGAAGGCAGAATTCAAGGAGAAAGAACAAACGCCCTAACTCCCAAAATGGCAAGCCTCACTCTTCTATTCTTCAAGATTACATCAAAAGCAAATTCAACCGGACCGCCGTCCAGGCCACCTCCTCCGTCATGTCGGCTGTCTCGAACGACCCTTCGTCTCATTTCAACCATTTCTTCTCCGAGTCATCGGATTCCACCTCTAACCTTTCGTCGGCAATCATCTCATCGCCGATGTATGACGACGAGCTTCTCTTCATGCAAAACTTCTTCTCGAACTCCGGTGGCTTGTTGCCGTCTGTTGACGATGGTGCATCTATGGTCGCACATAATCAATCTGTGGCGGAGTTCGGGTCTGTTGACTCGGAACCGAAAGTGGAGAATGGGAAGATGATCAGTGGGAGCAACATGGTGAAGAGTAGTCACTTGTATTCCGACATGTATATGTCGTATCTTTTGAATGGGACGATGAACTCCGGCAGCGGCGACGGGGAGATTCAGAACACGGTGGAGATGGCGGAGCTGCAAGTGGCGGCCGGAGAAGGCCAATGGGAGAATTCACAAGAAGGGAAGAGAGAAATGGATTTGATGGAAATGCTGTCTTTCCATTGTTATTCTTGAGTTGAATTGAGAGAAAATAAAGCTTTTGTTTGAACTTCCAAATGGAAAACTTTGAAGCTTTTCGTTTAAAAAATAGAGCCAAGTCTAACCCGATCGAGCAAATGTCTTGATTTATTGATTGATATGAAAAGCTCGTGTGTAACATGTATTGTACTGGACTTGGATTAAGATAAAGTGTTTTTTTTGTAAGAGCCCAAATTCAACCATATTTATCTTCTTTCAAGTTTATAGGAATAGTTTTCTATATTATTATAAGAAATGCTTTGTTCTCTTCTCCAATCGATCCAGGTAGGATATTACACAATCCACCACCTTTGGGGACTCAACCTTTCGAGCTTCCCTTCAAGGTTTTGAAACATATCTACTATTGGAGAGTTTTTTACTCCCTTATAAATAATGTTTTGTTCTCCTCTCTAACCAATGGAAATCTCACACATCTCACCCCTCTTGGAGTCAGCGTCCTCTCTGGCACACGGTTCGATGTTTGACTCTGATACCATTTGGAATAGTTTAAACCCAACACTAACAGATATTATCCTCTTTTGACTTTCTCTAAAGACTTTAAAACGTTAGGGAGAGGTTTTCATATGCTTCGTTCCCCTCTTCAATTGATGTACCTCACAATTTACCTATTTGGAGGCACAACATACTCATCAGCAGGAAACTCTAACAAAAATGGCAACAACTTTCCTAAATTAATCGATAATTTTGATAAAATCTTAATACGAGAAGCCTAAAAATCTCTTATTCAGCACATAATTTTGTTAGTCCAGCCAGTCTCTCAGTAGAAATTGGAAGACAAAGGACCTCTTAAGCATATTATTGCTTTGTGGATGAAGCTATTAATTGAGCAGTTTCGTGGATAAAAAAAGGAGTTATAAAAATTAAAGGTCAAAGATAACCGATTTTAGTCATCAATGCTTTTGAATAGTGACATAAATAAATAAAAAGCAAATAAAGAGGGCTAAGTTATAAAAAAAATATATACCCATACTTCATTTCTTAAAAAAAAAAAAAAAAAAAAACTTTATAATTTAAAAAAAAATTGAGTATTAATATATGGACAAAAATTAGTATCTAATTTTAAAAAAACTATAATTTAAAAAAATTAATAAAACTGGTATTCTTTCTTTACCTTCCCTGAACTTCCAATTCTTGAACAGAATACAAACAAACAATTCACTGAAATTTATGTCCTTTTTAGCAATAATAATAATTACTTTCAAACTGAAAACTCTTACTCTTTTGCATGCTTAGTTTCAACGACTCTAACAAACTTCAATTAACAGGAAATTACGAGCCCGGTATTATCTATAATGCTCCCCTTTTCCAAAATTTTCCAAGACTTTTAAGGAAAAACATATCTTTATGTCTGTCTGTTTATATAATTTGAAGAAAAGTCATGACATTTTGGCCCTGGCGAAGAACACCCCAGCAAATAAGCCTGCAAAATGCAACCAATTCATAAGCCAAATGATCCTCTGCAATAACAGTGAAAAAGTGGCCATATTTGTAACTCTTGAGAGTCTAAAAAATTGTGTTCATTACCAAATAATATGCTGAAGAGGTTTGGTGGACTCAGAGGAACTTTAAACAAAAAGATGCCAGCAATTGATAAGGGAATCTTGTTCAAGGAACCTACAAGGCTGTAAAAAAAGAAAACCATTGTAAGTTGACCAACCTACATTTTGCACCTAATTGAAGTTCACAACTATTATATATATATATATATATATATATATATATATATATATATATATATATATATATATATATATATATATATTTATTTGATTGTTTCATAGAGACAATCGGGAGATGGGATGACCTATTATATGCTCGAGCTTATCGAAAAGAAGAAGTTTTTTTCTTTAAGATTCAAATAAAAAAAAAAAAACCAATTATCCATTCAATATAATAGTGATTGAATGCTCGAGCATTCAAGACACTTTCATGAGTCCATATCATGAGTCAAAATGAAATTCGATTTCCTAATTCAAGATCCAATCAGTAGACACCATATTCGGTATCGAAGGGTTATCATATCAAGATTTAACGATTATTTTTTATTACTCTATTAAATTCTTGAAACGAAACCTATACGGCTGTAAAAAAAGAATAGAGCTACTTTTTTATTTTTTAAAAACTAAAAAAAGAATAAAGTTGTATATTATATATATATTTCTTTTCACTCTATGCCTACTTTTAAAAAATGAATAGAGCTAAGTTTTAAAAACTTAAAAAAGAATAATTTTAAAAAAATTATTTTGTTTTCAAAATTTTGACTTGGGAAATTCTAAGACAGATATAGTTTTTAAAAATAGATAACTAAAATCAAAAGGGTTATAAATACTAGGTTAGAAATTACGACTCTCCACAATGGTATGATATTGTTCATTTTGAGTATAAACTTTCATGGTTTGTTTTTTGTTTCTCCAAAAGATTCATGTCAATGGAGATGTATTCTTTACTTATAAACCCAGGATCGAACTCCTTGTTTAGTGGACGTGGGATATCTTCTCCCAGCAATTCTCACCACTATGTTTCTGGCTACAAATGCAAGGTGGTTGGTAGTAAAATGGAAATACCTGTAGGTGGTGGGGCCCGTTTGATGTAAGAACCACATAGAGGTGAAACTAATAGCGAGTCCAAGTAATCCGCTAGCAGTTGCGACGACCCAAAACATTGGCAATTTTATGACATCCCTGTAAGTTGAAATGGGAGGTGGTGGGGAGAAAAACTGTTTAGCTGACAGAACTTAGAGAATATAGAATGAAAAAGGAAAAAGAGTCTACTTACGCATTCACTACATAAGCCCATTCACCAAATAGGAAAATCAAAACGGCACCAAATGGTAAAGATAATAAGTTATTTAGCAACACCATGGAAGCTTCATTAAGTGATCCAGATCTTGTTAGCTTCTTTGCTTCGTCCATGATACGTCTCAGGGTAAGCTGTGACACAGCAAAATTCATATTGAATTATTACGAATACATGTTATTCACGTATCATTCAGAAGAGTCCTGAGTAAACATTTAGCTACTTAAGCTGTTGAAGGGGAAAAAACCCCCCACAAAATGGGGTTTTAAAGCTAAATCTACTTACTGAATAGCTTGCTGTAAGAACACAGTTCGTGACCTGCCATCCATAGCCTAATGTATCAAATGTAAGATCTGTTATACCACCGCTGATGGCGGAGATGATCTGCGCGGAAGAGTGATTTTAATGAAAGAAACTAACAAAACTATGATTCTTAGAAGGACAATATCAACATAACTAACAAAGCAGCATTTCATTTTTATCAACTGTTCTTTCTCTATGATTGTCCCATATTTCTCCGAGATCTCGAGAATGACGGAAATTAGACATCTTTTAGTACCAAGCAACCTGGAAATTCTACAATATAAAGATTCATACCCCGGGTAACTTTTTCCCAACGGAAACAAATAGAAAGGAAATGAAGGCACTGCCCTGTTAGAAACGATGAAGACCATCATAATGCTTTTTTAGCAGAGAATAAAGGGTGGAAGATCCTCTCTCTATGGGCAGAGTACAACTCCGTTTAAAAGTTCTCTTCAATGTAGGGTGGAAGATCCTCTTCTCTATGGGCAAAGTACAACTCCGTTTAAAAGTTTACGTTGGGGTGGATTTTGCATTACTATTGAAGGTCAGTAATTCAATAGCACTAAACTTTTAATTTGCTGATAAATTTGGTAAACTATACATTTAAAAGAACTGGTAACTTATTCTACCAAAGTCGACTATGAGATAAAATTAGATTGGAAATTTTAAAGATTTGTTGGAGAAATTTTAAATTTTAAGAATATATTAATTATTAATCACAATAAAATCTAGGGATCAATCTTTGGTATGATATTTGCATGTAAATTGGGAAGTAAAATATAATGTTTACCATTAAGAACATAGCAGTCCAGACTTTTTGGTTCTGTCGTTTCCGGAAAATATAGAGTTCTCCAATTGCAGTCATTATGTTTGTCACATTCTTCAAAATCGTCACCATTGCTATATTTATGTATTTCAAACTGAAACCAAGAAGAACCTCAAATTTCTGTCATGGGTGCCAAAGAGCAAAACAAGAGAGCTACTAAGAATCTTAGAAACTGAACGCACCTGTACATGCCAGACACCAGCATACCGATAAAGATTAAGTTGACTGGAATCCACAGCCTAATCAGCTTCCAATTAAGCTTTTCGATTGAAACTGTTCTGCAGAGGCCCAATAGAACAATAACTATAGAACTAATCAAATTCTGCAGAAAATTACCGGAATAAATCAAAATTGGATATGCTAGAAAATGTGATAAAGTAAAAATTTAAAAGAGAAACAAACTGATAAAGTAACAACTGACAAGATTAAGCAAAAATTTTCATTGGTTCAAGTGACTGCCTTGACTCACTATTAAGCAATGTCACGAAGTCTGGTATTTTTCATTTTTAACGCAAATGAGAAAGAAACGAGTGGCGTACTTGATAAAACATCAACGATATTCCTGCATTAAAATTGTAACCGGAGAGAACAACTTTATTCAGAATAATCATGCTGCAAGAAGAAATGCAATACGCAGTCCCGGATAAAAGAGGACCCGTTTTCCTTCCTAATCCATGTTCACGTGTCTCATCACCATCAAACAAACCACTGAAACTGCCATTCTTGACAATTCGATTCCCTCTGAAAAACCTAAGGTAGAAGAATTGATGGTGGGTTAACCACAGAATAATGGATCATTAACAAAAATTTCAAAAGAATACAGAAAGAGAGAGGCCATTGATGTATAAGAGAGAAATTAAGATATAATATTTCTAATCTATATTCGATTGTCATTAAGAAGTATGCAAGTTTTCAGATATATATCAACTGTTAATAGCCGCAACCAGATTGTAGCAGCCTCGTCCAATAAGTTTTCCACAATGTGGCATTTCAAAATCTTTCTACTTGTTAATTGAAATACAAAATGTTAAAATCTATTTCATAAACAGGATAGAATTGTTTGAGCAGCTCAAATAATTTATAGGACAGACTATCCATGAGTACCTATCCCCCAAGGTCCTGCGCTGTGCATTCGTTAAAAAATTGCTTATCGACTTGCTTCCTTGATTTCGAATACCGCTCAGAATTTTGTGTACTGTACCAGCTCTTTCATTCTGCTCAACGTTTCCGTTTCTAGTGCTCACTCGTGGTTCCTCGCCGCCTATTTCCAACTTGAAATCTGATGACATCTACATCAAATAATAATAAAAACAACTTTATACGAAGAACAAAAAATGCATCTCCTACATAATCTCTAAGGAGCAGGTTTTGAACAGTTGAGAACCGTCTGAATTCGCTAATAAATCCATCATCATTGGCTCATATTCACAACCATAGTCAGTATGCATACAGAGATTCAAACAAGAACCAGAAATAACCACAAAAAACTAGAAGAATGAGTAATGATTCTGAGTCCTACCGAGTCAAGCATCACAGTCTTCGGAGAAATAATAATCTTTTAGTATCCTCCAATTTGAATAAATTTTCAATCCTTAGTAAATCAGAACCACAAAAAATGATAATTATCGCAGAAGAAAGAAAATCGAATTTAAAAGCAGAGAAGAAATCAAACGCGTGAATGGCGAACATACGATATACATCCAGCATACGAACTGAAAAGTTATGGAAAGTGATGTGGAAGCAAAATTCGTAAAGAGCACGAAAAATGGGAGAAAATGGTGGATCAAAGAAGAAGCGAGATTCCAGGGAAGAAAAGGGAAAAGGACCGTCTGTGCCATGAGAGAAGGATACTTGGGGATTTGGAAAGAGGCTTCACCTTCTTTCTTTCTTCTTCGAAAGTCAAATTGCTCCGTCATCATCCATGAGCGGTGAGCGCGAATCTCTGAAGAAGAGGCGAAGAAACCAAGCAAATTGAGAGACGGCCATTGATGGATGAGAGGATTGCCGCAACTAGCAGCAAAGAACTTGCTTCTTCGTGACGGAATTATTTTTGAATTCCCTCGCTTTAGCGCGGAACTTGAGGGAGATGGGCCGTTAAGTTGGGCCTTATCGGATCGGGTTGGCAACGAGTTTTTTAATAGTAGAATAAGTGGAGAGATTCAAAAAGGTTGAAAGGTAAGTATAATATATATATATATATATATATTTGTAACTCTAATAAATTTAAATATTTTTTTATAGTATTTAATTTCATACGAAATAACAACCATTATGATATTAGGGAAAATTTAACGGCACTTATTCCAGTTAAAATATTTACTAATAGATAAAATATATATATTTTTTAAAATTTAGAGAAAATTTAATCTAGAGATGGTGAGATTTCACATTGGTTTGAGAGAGAAACAAAACATTTCTTTCAAGAGTGTCGAAGCCTCTCCCTAAAAAACGTGTTTTAAAACAGGCGGACGACGACATGTAATGAGCTAGAACGAATAATATCAACTAGTAATGGACTTAAACTATTACAAATGGTATTAGAGCTAGTTATTGAGCAGTGTGCTAATAAAGACGTTGGCTCCCAAAGGAGGTGAATTATGAAAATATTTATAATAATTTTTCCATATGTAATAGGCTAAAACAGAAATATCTATTAGTTTGGACGGTTTCAGACAATATTTATAAAAAGTGACATTTTAAAACCTAGATTGTCACTAAAAATAATAATTAATTTTGCTTAAAAAATATTAAAGATTCGAGGATGGAGGGAGAATATGCCTCCAAAATTAAATGGGAAAAGATTTCGCCACGTGGCCGTCCCCACTTGAAATACAGATTCCATTGGCCTTATAATTAATTCCGGAAAAATATAAAGTTAAATTAATAAAAATATTCTTAAAAATGACATTAATTTTTTTATAATTTTACCAATACCCTCACAGAACTAACCGTAATTAAAAGTTTTTATTAAAATATTATAAAATGAATAAAAATGAAAAGTTTTTAATAAAATATTATTTTAAAAAAGAAACTTTTCCGTTAATTCCATGATATTTAGGGACGCAACCCAATCTGTTCTCTGTAAAGTGCCACGCGTCAGGCCGTGTACCAGTGACCATTAATATCTCTCTATCGCTCTCTAAAACCATTTTCTTCTGTTACTGCCTGCAGAGTGGTGAACAGTTGAAAATCCGGTTCGCCATGAGCGCCGGAGCTCTTCTCTACTCTTTCTCGCCAACGCCTCCAAATCCATCCGATTGCTTCAAGAACTTCTCCTTCTTGGAACGGAGGCCCAAATTTCCCTCACGTTTTCACCTGACGATTCTTCCAGAGGATCGATGCTTCGTTTTCCAGATTTCCGCCCGACGACATTCCGGCGGAAGAGGGAACTGGAGGCTTTGGACCGATGTCAAGTCGAAGCCCTACGACGTGTCGAACAAAGATGCGAATTCGGTGAAGTTTAAGAGCTCGATCGACAAAAGGGTGCTCGACGATGAAGAGGAGCTCAGTGATGAACTTCCATGGTGGAAACAATTCCCCAAACGATGGCTCATCGTCACCTTGTGTTTCTCCGCCTTCCTTCTCTGCAATATGGACAGAGTGAGTGAGCTCTGAATTAGTCGAATTTTTTAATGGCACGAATTGAACATAATTGACCGTTTCTATAAAATGTTAGGTTAGGTTTGTATTGTAGAGTTGAATTGATTGTTAATTAATGCACATACCTTACGTTTTAGTTTCAATGAGTTTTGTGCACTGTTCCTTAGTTTTAAGTCAAATGCTCTAAAGAGTTGCGCCCGGGCACACACACACATGTATTTTCATTCAATAATTGCAGGGTGGAGTATGGAACTATCCTCCTTTGAGATTATAATTTGTGCCTAATTGCTACTGATTTGATACTTGCCTACTTCGTTTTCTTATTGCAATATATGAATTTCATATTTTATCATGTAGTCTTACATTTATGAACTAATTAAGAAAGACCAAATGGGTATTGATGAAAGTTTGGGATCTAAAAGAGAATATTAAAATGAAATAAGTGAGATGGATTAGGAAACAAAATAAGATTTAAACATTTTGCAAGAGAAGAAGAAAAAAGGAAAAAGTTAACCTATTCATTAACTTAAGTCTAATTTTCAGAACTGTTTACATTGTAAGAATTTTAGCATTTTAAGAGTGTCGTTTTCATTATGTTCTTAAAAAAAACTTGTTTATTTCTTTGTTTTGCAATCTACCAATTTGTTGTTGTTTTAGAAATTTGACTTGTAATTCAATCGTTTTTAGAGCGGAAACTTGGAGGTGAAAAAATATTGAGTTTTAACTCATATAGAAGCGTTACCGTATGGGGCATTATTGCTATTTTAAAAAATAATCTGTTTGTTTGATCTATATAGGTAAATATGAGCATCGCTATACTTCCAATGTCAGCGGAGTATAACTGGAATCCACAAACTGTTGGTTTGATACAATCATCATTTTTCTGGGGATATCTCCTCACTCAGGTAAACACGAACCTTACAGCTTTATATTGCTCTAATGCTTTGAATTACTGGCCAAGAGCCTCTTCTAGCTAAACAATGATATGGATTGAAACAACCTTTTGCCTTGATAATATGAATAAGAAAAATCAATTGATCCAAACACAACATAAGAAGCCACATCTATTTGTTATCATCCAGAAAAGGAGAAACCATTGTTTTATTTCTTCCTCCATTTCTAACTTGTAGCTATGGCTTATGACAGATTGCTGGTGGGATATGGGCAGATACAGTTGGGGGAAAGTTGGTTTTGGGATTTGGTGTGATATGGTGGTCAGTTGCCACAGTTCTCACACCTGTAGCAGCTAAAATTGGTCTGCCTTTCTTGCTTGTTGTTCGTGCATTCATGGGGATCGGTGAGGTTTGTCTCATTACATACATCACTAGACCCAAAAATTTAAATCAATAAGCCAGGGTATGTTCAATCTTCTAAATATATACCTAACATTCTGACACTCGAAATCCAATACATGAACTATTAATATCAACGGGGAAGGAAATGATGCTGAAAAGTTCAAACTTAGAGGATCTTCTACTGTTGAAGTCTAACGCTAGTAGATATTGTCTGCTTTGGCCCGTTACGTATCGCCGTCAGCCTCATGGTTTTAAAACGCGTCTACTATGGAGAGGATCTAACCCTACTCTGACTAGTGTCACATCGTTTGGTGATTGACTCTGATATCAGTTGTAACAGTCTAAGCCCACCGCTAGCAGATATTGTCTACTTTGGCCTATCACGTATCGCCATTAGCCTCACGGTTTTAAAACACGTTTAGTAGGGAAAGATTTTCACGAACTTATAAGAAATATTTTGTTTCCCTCTCCAACCGATGTGAGATCTCATGTCTACTCTGGTACCGTGTTAAACTACCATTAGACCTAAAAGCATAAGTTAAAAGATCAAAGTGCATTATTCTTTCATATAAATTTTTAACCCGTATGGAAAACCGGTTTGTCTCCATGCTTACTACATAGAAAGATCTATAGTATGAGGGTTCTGAAAGAAATTTGATTTCCTTCTCTTTTTATCCTCCATAGACATTAGCTCAGATTGTTCAGTTGTTTTCAGGGTGTTGCAATGCCTGCCATGAACAATATACTCTCCAAATGGGTTCCTGTAGCAGAAAGAAGCAGATCACTAGCACTTGTTTACAGTGGGATGTACCTTGGGTCTGTAACAGGCCTTGCCTTCTCACCATTTTTAATACATCAATATGGATGGCCATCAGTTTTTTTCTCCTTTGGCTCACTTGGTGCAGTTTGGTTTGCTGTCTGGCTTAACAAGGTAACTAACTCTGCTGCCAACAAAATATTCGGTCTAAATCCTTGTGTTGATTCTTGTGTAAGCTGTATAAGGTCTGTCTTGATTCATATTCTCTTGGAACTTGTCAACGACACGTGATTTATTTTGAGTCATGGCTATAGGCACACAGTTCGCCACTTGAGGATCCTCAACTGAGACCACAAGAAAAGAAGTTGATCTTTGCAAATAGTGTTTCGAAGGAGCCTGTTAAAAGTATACCCTGGGGACTGATCTTGTCCAAAGCACCAGTATGGGCTCTTATAGTTTCTCATTTTTGTCACAATTGGGGGACATTTATTCTTTTGACATGGATGCCAACATACTATCACCAGGTAAGTCTTTTTGTTACTTCACGGTAAAAATTTATTTGGACAGATCTTTCACTAGCCTGTCATATTTACTCTCTTTGTTAGTGCAATCTTTAGCTAATTGAATCAATATCCAAGTTTTTTGCAATTACAGAATATAAAAATATTGATAACTTTTTAAGTTCTACGCATCTTCATGCTCAGGTAAATAGGATAGGGACAGAATGATTGATGGGTTATAGAGCATAACACATAAAATCTTGATTTGGTCATTCGATGTCAGCTCTTTCGGCAATATGTAAATCTTGATTTGGAATCTTTAAATATCACTTAGGTCCTGAAGTTCAATCTCACAGAATCTGGTCTTCTTTGTGTTCTTCCCTGGCTAACAATGGCAATTTCTGCAAACCTTGGAGGCTGGATCGCCGACACACTTGTGAGCAGAGGCCACTCCGTGACTACAGTTCGAAAGGTAACAAGGAATATTTCTACCATCCATATTTCTTCATGTTCTAAACCGAAAAACTTATGTCGTACGGTACTTTTAATTTTCAATGTTTATTCGTAACACTCATCTCACTTGTGGGTTCGAAATTAGCTTGACATCAAACTAATGACTATCCATATTTGCTAAGAAGAAAATGACACTTTCACAATTTCAACATAAGCTTAATTTGATAGGTTAGGGTACTTAATCTTTTGTAAATAGTCTTAACCCAATCTACTGGCCGAATTGTTTCATGACAACTTTCTACCTTCCGCTTTCACTTGCTACAAGGCCTTCAACTCTTATATACCACTGTCCATAAGGTTGAGAATGGTTGGGAGGGAGTCTATATTGGCTAAATAAAGGAATGACCATGGGTTGGTATGAAGTCCTTTGGAGAAATCAAAAGTAAAACCATGAGAGTTTATGCTCAAAGTGGACAATATCATGCCATTGTGAAGATCTGTGATTCCTAACATGGTATTAGAGTCATACCCTTAACTTAGTCATGTCAGTAGAATCCTCAAATGTCAAACAAAGAAGTTGGAACCCTCAAAAGTGTAGTAAAAAGTGACTTAAGTGTTGAATAAAGGGTGTATTTTGTTCGAAGGCTCTAGAGAAAAGAGTCGAGCCTAAAGGGAGGCTATTTGAGGGCTCCATAGACCTCAGGGGAGGCTCTATGGTATACTTTGTTCGAGGGGAGGATTGTTGAGAATTGTTGGGAGGGAGTCCATATTGACTAATTAAGGGAATGATTGTGGGTTTATAAGTAAGGAACACATCTCCTCTGGTACGAGGCCTTTTGAGAAAACTAAAAATAAAACCATGAAAGCTTATGCTCAAAGTGGACAATATTATGGGCTCTTACTTTTCAGATTATGCAAAGTATCGGATTTCTTGGCCCTGCATTCTTCTTGACCCAGTTGAGCCATGTTGATTCTCCGGCGATGGCAGTTTTGTGCATGGCCTGCAGCCAGGTTGGTTTGCATTTTAAAATGTCATTTCCATAGCTTCCTGTTCTTATTGAAAAACATACATTTAATTTGATATGCTGACTTGAACAGGGAACTGATGCATTCTCTCAATCTGGTCTATATTCGAACCATCAAGATATTGCGCCCCGATATTCTGTGAGTTTTCGACTCGGAGTCATTCGAAAGTTCGTTTAGTTTGATTACTTGGCATTGATTTTTGGTTGGGAAAAGCCTGTAATTGATGCAATGATCTGTTTAGGGAGTGTTACTTGGTCTATCAAACACAGCTGGAGTTCTAGCAGGTGTTTTTGGGACAGCGGCTACAGGTTACATCTTGCAACACGGTTAGTTCTACGTCGTTCAATACTAATCAACTCTCAAGAGCTTTATCATTTCTACTCTTGCACTTGACATTTGTTTAACTTTGAAGTTTGAACGTCATCCAAATTTAACTTAAAACTTGGATAAAAAAAAAAATGACATTGTTATGCTAGAATAAACAAGAAATACACTTCCAATCGTTGATTCATCCGCAAATTATTAAGTCACACCATTGTATGAGAAACCCTGATAGGAAAATGATGTGAAAAACTTGTCAGGTTCATGGGATGATGTATTCAAGGTATCAGTTGGGCTATACTTGGTTGGGACAGTGGTTTGGAATCTCTTCTCAACCGGTGAGAAAATATTGGACTGACAAACCTTCTAGTCTACACGAAACCCCTTCACCCCTTCTCTCTACACAAACCCCTCATTTCCAAACCAATTCTTTGAAAACTTCTTGCTAGAAAGCACAGCCCACTGTATAGTAGATTCCCTTGGGCGGTGTTCAGTTTTTGGTTCTTGGAAAAAAGAGCTTTCAATATGTTAGGTGATTTGAGTGGACATTTATAAATAAATCATTTGTGCAGTCCATGTTTTATTTTATTTTTGGAAGTGATATTTCTATTTCATATTTGATTGTGAGGTTTTTTTAGACTTAAATATTCTTTGGATCAATTTGATGTCCTAATATGGTAGATTGAGAAACAAGCTTTTATTATTGTAGCTAGTTTCTTTGAGTAGTTGACTTATTATTATTGGATGGTCAAATAAAATTAAAATAAATAAACTGGTAATTTAAATATTAGATTATTCTTGTTTTTTTTACTGAATTAATAAAATTATTCGTGAGACATGTTATATTTTTATTATATTATATTATTTTTATTTATATTTTGTCTTCATAAATTTTCAAAAGTTTCAATAATATCTTTAAACTAAAAAAACTAAAATAAATAAATAAATAAATAAAAACATTACAATTAGTCTTTTTTTTTTTGTGAATAATATGTTTAAAAAATACACACAAAATTTTAAAAATAACATTAACACCGATTATGCTAGTAAAAAAAATAATTTTTTTTAACAAATTGTCTATTAACCTCTAAGAATTGTATTTAAACTTTCTAATGTTATTTTTGAAAGCTTATGAATATTTTTCAAACCTGTACTAACTGCTTTTTAAAAATAGTTTAAAGGTGATTTTGAAATGTTTAAAAAAGTGAATTTTGAAGTGTTAAAAAAAAATGCAAAGTTGAAAACAGTTAAAAATTCAAGATATATAATAATAATTTAAAGGCATTATTGAAACTTTTGAAAGTCTATACACACAAATTTTGAGGATATTTTTTTTATTAATTTAGCCTTACAATTTTCATTAATTTCTTTAACCAATTAATTTAGAATTACAGTGCATAAAAGTGAAATATAGATAATAATACTACATAAATATTAATTTAGAAATACATAAAAAAAAAAAAAAATAATAAAAAAACAATAGATTTTCGTCCACATAATATAATTTGGCTTTAATGTAAATTTATGTATGGAAGATCCACCAATTCACCAAATGCAACAATTTCAAACACTTCCACTCCCCAATTTAACCACCAACAATTTACGTATATAAAAAAAAAAGAAAAAAAAAAGACAAACACATTGACAATTATATCCTCATGATGACGAACGAAATGACGAATTTACCCTGTGCAGTATTAAGAAAACTGAACCGATTTTTCTTTTTTACCGTGCACTGTCAAAAGCAAATATAATTCAGAAAAACAGACAAATTCAAATAACGAAATGACGAAAACACCCCTCTCCTAGCCGAGCCGGCGGGGATGCAAATAAACACGAAGCCCATTCTTCATAAAAAGAGTGAGAGACATCTTCTGTTCCACCCGATGACCGGGAACTGGCGCCAGCCGGTACCGGAGGAGTACGGCAGAGGCGACGGACTTCATCTGCAAATAAGCCAAATCCTTCCCCAAACAAGTCCTCGGTCCAGCATTAAACGCCACAAACTTATACACATCCTTCTGCCCCTCGAACCGGTCTCCGGCCGGCGATAACCACCGGTCCGGTTTAAATTCCTCACAATCCTCCCCCCAAATGCTCTTCATTCTCCCGACCGAATAAATTGAATACGTCACAGTCGAACCGGCCGGCACAAAAGTGCCATCTGGCAACACGTCATCAGCCACGACATATTTGAAATCCTGTGGTACGGACGGGTATAAACGGAGTGTTTCAGCCAATGCGGCTTTTAAGTACACCAATTTGTCGGCCTCGTCGAACACCAACGGCTCTTCGATCCAACGGCGCGTATCGTCGCCACGTGTTTGACGAAGGACCGTTGAGATTTCGGTGAGGATTTTTTCCTCGACGTGTGGGTGGTTCATTACGAGCCAAAAGAACCAGGTGAGGGCGACGGAGGAGGTGTCCCGACCGGCGAGGACGAAGTTTAATGCGATGCGGTGGAGCACGGTGGCGGAGAAGCGGTCGTCGTCGCGCTTCTTCATGAAGCGTGATAATAAGTCGTCCGAGGGAGATTCTTTACGGGATGCAACGGCGTCGTTTATGTATTCTTCTACCACTTTCAGACACTTCTTCAACCTTCTTTCCATTCCAATCCCCAGAAGCTTCTCGAACCTCCATATAAGACCAGGGTAAAGAAGGCGCTGGAGAGTGGCCTCAGTGGCGGTATCAAAGGCCAAAGCGAAGGAATTTGTAGGCAATTCCGGCGACAGAGTTTCAGGATCTTTCCCAAAAGTCAGCCCACAAATATTATCAAAAGTCAACCGGAGCAACAGATCCTGCAAATCCACCGCCGTCTTATACTCCGCCGCCTTGTCCAAAATGCACCACAGTCGCGTCCTTATCGTTCGATTAACCCACCGATCCATCGCCTGCCGGAGCGTCCTCGTCGTGAACTCCAGCGCCGCCGTCTTCCGCTGAATCAGCCAAATTTCGCCGTCGCTGTTGAAAATCCCCTGTCCCAGTAAATCGTGAAAAGCCGCCTGCCAGTCCGGTCCTTTAGGGTAATTTTCGAACCGGGTTCGCAGCACGTGCTCGATGTTTCTCGGGTGGCACGTGACAGTGTAAAATCCTTGCTTTTTAGCAATGAATGGAACCGCCACCGTGCAGGTTTGGTACGTGGCAGCGGCGCCTGTGTCGCGGAGGTTTCCGGCCATCCAGTCATGGAGTCTCCGCCGGTTCGAGAAAAGAGCCGGTAGACTGCCGATGACCGGCCATACTCTTGGACCAGTAAGCTTACGGGCGAGGAAATAAAACCAAATCAAATAGGTGAGAAAGAGAGTGAGAAAAAAAGTGGGGAAGGGAAAAACGACGTCGTTGGCCATTGATGCGAAGGAGCAAGGAATTAGTGAGGGAAGAGGGGAAAATAGTGGATTTATAAAGTGAAAAAAAAAATTGGGGAAAAAAGTTTAGGAAGAGTTGTTGAGAAAATTGAAAAAGAAAAGGTTTTGGAATTGGTAATAATATTGACATGCACACGGAAACTCTTCCATTAGTATTACTTTCTGTAGCACTCATAAGCAAGTGTGTTTTTTTTTTTAAACAAATTTTCTTTTAGTTTAAGAATATTTGGGGTCGGGTTTAGGGTTTACCCAGTACAAACATAAATAAATATATTACATTATAAATTATTTAAAAAAACTATTTATTATGTGACGGATAGTTTTATACGGTTAAATGTATGAAAGAGAAACTCTTGAACTTATGTCCCATAGTTATTATAAAGCATGCACATTCCTATGAGAAAGTCATATGATAGGCTATTTTAGTGTTTCGTATGAACTTATGTGTGTATATATATATATATACACATTCGAAATTGCCCTTACTGCTAGTAGAACATGGAGCAACGACATGGGCCCGTTAAATTTATAAATAGGCACGAGTGATTTATGAAGTAGGGCAATGATGTAAGGTTTTCTTGAGAAGAAGTGAACAAAATTTTCTTCCACCTACTAAAAAAGGCAATGGATACACCTAGAAAAGCCTAAGGTTAATTACAAAGAAAGAGGGTTTTGGGTGGTTAGATTTGGTCTAACTGCCATGGGAAATTAGGGTTTCCTCTTCCAATGCATTTGCCCAAAAACAACATAATAAAAACAGTAAACTGTAAAAAAATGAGATGAAACGGTAAAATAGAAATTAAACCTTCCACCTTGCATAAAAAAAAACAAAATGGACTCTACCGATTGATTCGACTTCAACAAAAGTTCTAGCTAAATTGGGAAACTTCTTAAAAAAGACATCATTTCTGACTTTATTGGTTCAATTAGATGAATTTTTAAATGGAACCGTTTTTAAAATAATGGACTCTACCAATATGTATGTATGCTCGATGGATCGTCAACCAAAACAATAGTCACGAGCGTAGAGGCGTTGTTCCTGCATGCAAACACAAACAAAAAACAGAAAAGCACGCTCCCTACGCAGGCATTATCCTGTTCAGGTTCAAAGGGACTATCTCAGCCTGACCAGTTAGCCCCGGACGAGGAGCTACACTTGGTCGAGGCACCCCTGGTGCGTTTCTTAAGTTAATACGATGAAAATGACAAGGTCAAAACATAAAGCAAAGTAACAACTTTTTCTTAGTTCCAATAGATAGAGAAACAAAGCAGACGAACTTAAATACAGCCAGTGAAAGGGAATGAACAAGCTAAACTTTGTACTCTTCCATGGCCTGAAGCTGGAGACTCGAGAGCGAGTATTTAATTTCGGTTTTGGTCATCCAATCGTCGACGACGAGTCTCCTGCACTTCCAACCCTCTTCTTCGTGAGCGGTCCTGCATATTGGTATACTGTAAGAACCAACAAAAGGAATTAACTCATATTCGTATATATGAGTCTCTTTGTAACAGCTCAACCCCACCGTTAGATGATAGTCTGCTTTGGCCCGTTACGTATCGTCGTCAGCCTCACGGTTTTAAAACGTGCCTGGTAGGAAGAGGTTTCCACACCCTTATAAGGAATGCTTTATTCCCCCTCTCCAGCCGATATAAGATCTCACAATCCACCTCCCTACGGAGCCAGTGTCCTCGCTGGCACACTATCCAGTAGCTGACTCTAATACCTTGTAACAGTCCAAGTCCACTACTAGAATATATTGTTTGCTATGGCCTGTTATATATTTCTGTAAGCCTCATGGTTTTAAAACACATTTACTACGAAGAAGTTTCCATACCCTTATAAGGAATGTTTTGTTCCCCTCTCCAACCGATGTGAAAGCTCACTCTTAGAGAACCAATATGAGAACGTGTGGTACCAAATCCTTTCAAACTTAGAATTTGAAGACTATGATTGAAATTCAGTTATTAAAATTGTCGTTCTAAGCTTAAGAAAACCATGGAGTAAAATCAAAAGGCCAAAAGTTTTGTGATTACTAACCTTCACCTCTTCAGGGAGTCCATGTAGCTTGCAGGCAAGTAGATTTCTCCACCAGTTTCACCATGTTGTTCACCACTAACGGTTTTCTTTGCAGCCAAGAACTCAGCACTCATAGCATCCATCCCTTGCTTCAGAGCTTCCTCTGCGCTCCCGTACCCGTGTTCTTCAGCATACTTCCGCACATCCTCGGTTATCTTCATGGAGCAGAACTTAGGTCCACACATGGAACAGAAGTGAGCCACCTTGGCACCTTCTGATGGCAAGGTTTCATCATGAAAGGACATGGCAGTCATAGGGTCCAATGACAAAGCAAATTGATCCATCCACCGGAACTCGAATCTCGCCTTGCTCAGTGCATCATCCCATGATTGAGCATGTGGGTGACCTTTGGCTAGATCAGCTGCATGAGCAGCTATCTTATATGCTATTACTCCAGCCTTCACATCATCACGATTTGGCAATCCTAGGTGCTCTTTCGGTGTAACATAACAGAGAAGAGCCGTGCCAAGAGCCCCAATATTGGCAGCACCAATGGCAGAGGTAATATGGTCATATCCAGGAGCTACATCCGTAGTTAAAGGACCAAGAGTGTAAAACGGAGCTTCATTGCACCACTCAAGCTGTTTTTGCATGTTTTCGGGAATCTTATGCATCGGAACGTGTCCAGGTCCTTCATTCATTACCTGAAACTCAAATATGCAACCACTAGTTAGTAACACAATGGTATGATATTGTCCACTTTGAGCATAAGCTCTCATAACTTTGTTTTTGGCTTGTTTGGACCTCATACCAATGGAGATGTATTCTTTACTTATAAACCCATGACCAACCTCTTAATTAGTCGATGTGGGACTCCTCCTTTCAATAATCCTCAACAACCCCCCTAAACAAAGTACATCATAGAGCCTCCTTTGAGGCCTAGGTAGCCCTCAAACAGCTTCCCCTTAATCGAGACTCGACTCCTTTCTATGGAGCTCTCGAACAAAGTACACCCTTTATTCGACACTTGAGTCACTTTTTACCACACTTTCGAGCGTCCCAACTTCTTTGTTCGACATTTGAGAATTTTATTGATATGGCTAAGTTAAGGACATAGCTCTGATACCATGTTAAATCACGACCCTCTCCAAAGGTATAATATTGTCCACTTTGAGCATTAGCTCTCATGGCTTTGCATCTGGCTTCCCCAAAAGGCCTCATACCAATGGAGATGTATTCCTTACTTATAAACTCATGATCAACCTCTTAATTAGCTGACGTGGGACTCCTCCTTTCAATAATCCTCAACAAATAATTGCTTTGGAGAGTTTCCTAAATTCATGACTATTAGCATCAAATGTTTGAACATGCAGCCTTGCGCGGTTCTAAAACAAAAGTTATAACTATGAGATGTTCTTTCAAATGCATATAACTAGGAGTAAATAGGTTTCCTCTTTAATGCATAAGAATAACATAGGTGTGATTGTGAGCATATGTATGTATGTAAGCAAGAGAGAAGATTATTCACAACCTGCACATCTTTTTCCCATGCTCTACGAGTCAGTTCGCCCTGAGTCAAGAGCTCTGCAAATTGAGCAGTGTCGTTGGCATCATAAATTGAACCAGGTCTCAGCCCATCACCAATTGATAGAGATATATCATACTGATTACAGATGTCAAGTATGTCGTCCCAGTGTTCGTAAGCAAAGTTTTCCTTATGATGGGCCAAACACCACTTTGCATGAATAGATCCACCACGTGATACAATTCCTGTCATTCTTTTTGCTGTTAGAGGGATGTATCGAAGTAAGACCCCGGCATGAATAGTAAAATAGTCTACACCCTGCTCAGCTTGTTCAATCAGTGTTTCCCTGAAAATCTCCCACGTGAGGTTTTCAGCTATTCCATTCACTTTTTCAAGTGCCTGATATATGGGAACGGTTCCTACTGGTACGGCTGAGTTACGCAATATCCACTCACGAGTTTCATGTATGTGACGACCGGTAGAGAGGTCCATGACAGTATCAGCTCCCCACATGGTCGCCCATTGGACTTTATAAACTTCTTCTTCAATAGAACTTGCAACAGCAGAGTTTCCAATATTTGCATTTACTTTGACCAAGAAATTTCTACCCACAATCATAGGCTCCAACTCCAAATGCTTCTTGTTGGAAGGGATGATTGCCCGCCCGCGAGCAATCTCTGACCTGACAACCTCCGGATCCAGCTTCTCACGAGTGGCACAAAACAACATTTCCTCAGTAATGATTCCTTGCCTGGCATAATACATCTGTGTGTATCTTGGTGCACCTAATTTGTCCCTCCTATCGACCCAGTCCTTCCGAAGTTCAGGCAATCCTATATAATATGGATGATTGTCAGAAACAATGCAGATTGACAGTCATAGGTAACAGGTATACCAGCATAGCCAAAAAAAAGTTACCATTACTAATTTGCATTGTTGCTTCATGGAAGTCAGAAAGCAACATGTATAGAAATTGGATTACAAAAAAAAGTAACGAAATATCAAAGGACTTAGTTTCCCACATAGAAAGCAATATACTTGCCACCATTTATGTCTCCATGGAGCCAGATAGCACTAGTTGGCATCTGATGTTTAGGGAAAAAATAGCCCTCTTATACTACAGACTTAAAATAACAGACATGTATATCCAAATGGAAGAACTCCGTTCACTACATAAAAGTAAATAAATAAATTATAGCTACAAAGTCCGACTCCAAACAGTTTACACAAAATTTATATTTTGAGTAAAAAATATATGTTCGTGAAGAATTAAGAAATGACAAACAAACCCAACATGTGCTACAACACAAAAATAGCAAAAATGAGTCTTTTCAAGGAATTGTCAAATGCTGATCATCTTACCAGTACGGGGGCTGATGTTTTGAGGACCACTAGTGTCATAATTGTCAAAGTTTGGTTCATCACCAGATAGATGAACCCGACGAAAGGGTACTTTGAGCACATGCCCAGTTTCTTTGTGAACAACTTCCCTGCATAACAAATTATGCATCAATAATTGCAAATGCAAGGTCATCATCTATCTAGTTTTGCAACAATTACAAAAACTATGATACTCCAATGAATTCACTCACTTGTGTTCTTTTGTGCTTTTTGGGAAACATTGTTCAAATGAAGGAAGCGGCAGAAAGTCGGGAGATGAAGGATCAACTGTATGTTTATTGTTTTTGGCTTTCACTCTACTGGTTTCCATGGGTTCAGAGGTTAAAGTGGCTCTAGGAGTTATGGTAATAGATGAAGGGTATGAGTCCTTGCATGCACCGGAAATACGTCCAACCATGTCAAACCCAGGCAAAAAGGCAGAATTTAGTGATTTCGTAGGGTAAGAATGGTTCCCGCTCTTACCAACAGCTGGTGTTATGGTAGCATGAACTGACGCCATCTTTGATCTAGGTTGAAGGAAAAGAAACAAAGCTTCTTGATCTTTAAAAGTGATTGCCAGAATTAGACACAGCGAGCTTCATAAATATCATAATATGTTGTTCACAATCAGACTCCATCAGACCAAAACAACAAAACGTCTTAAATATCTTAATTTGTCGTTCAAAATCCATGAAGCAGAACGAGCTACAAAAGTACAAAAAGCATCATCTAAATACAGCTCAATCTAAGATTTCCAGTAGCCATATATATCGACGGTATACTTTTAAAATGGCAATATCTTTACATCATAGAAAATCATCAGCTACAAGAAGCAACGAAATGAGAGAAACAAAAAGCATCACGAGAATCCAGTTCAATGAACAGGTCAATCTAACATGCAAGTATCAGGTGGAATGGTAGGGATATATTTTTTATGGAATATATCTTAGATATTATATCTTAACGTCATTTATGATTTGATTTAGAATATATTTTATTTTATTCTCAATATTTAATTATTTTATATTTTCATTTGTACTTCTTGTATTAGGATATCAATATCAATGATAATACATACCTTTCCAATTCTATTTTCTATCTCATTCTTAACACGATCAAAGCAGATACTACACGAACCACTCAGAAAATAACAAAATCTTTAAATGATACAGAACTGTCAGTTCAATCGCCGATCAAAAAACAAATCATCAGTAAGGCGGCGGAACACGACCAAAGCAGATACTACACGAAACGCTCAGAAAATAGCAAAATCTTTAAATGATACAGAAGTGTCAGTTCACTCGCCGATCAAAAACACAAATCCATTATTAAGGCGGAACAACGAAAACTCGAGTGGAAATAAGATCATCAAACGAAAACAGCAGTTCAAAGACAATAACAAAGCAATCTGATCGAAGAAAACTCAAGAATGATAACAGAATATTGATTCGAAACACAAAGCGGTGCATACAATGTACTTTCAATGAATTAAGCCATAGAAATATGAAAATTAAGAAGGCCAAATGGAAAAGATGTAGGGTTTTTGGATGAACCTACCGAGGAAAGCTTGAGAGTTGAGTCTTATCTGTTAAACACGCGGCTTTAAGCAGAGACTGAAGATAATACAGAGACTGGGAGAGAGTTGGGATTATATATGGAAGCAGAGGGAAGGATGAGTGTTCCATTCGTACTCCAGAAAAGGTAATGAAAGTGATGCCGACGTGGCATAAGCTCCGGGTTTAGATATTTCTGACACTCAGACAACGAAATATCTCTTCTTTTTTACTTTAATATCCCAAACACATCTCTATCAGAAAAATAAAAAAAAATAATAATAATAATAATTCACAAATATCTCTCTATTTATTTTTTATTTTTTACTCTTAATTACATTGTTCCTATATTATATAGAATATTCAAACTAAAAAAATTAAACTGTTGACTCTTTTTTATTATTTTTTTATTTTTTTATTTTTGGACTAAATCGATTCTCTGAATTTTTTTTAAAATTTGTTTAATAAATTCACTAAAATCATAAATTGATTGACTAATAAATCTTTGAAATTATAATTTTGTTATAATTTTTTAAAAAATTTGTTTAATAAATTTTTTAACTTAATTTCGTTCACTATTTGAATATTGATAAAATTAATTTTTGGTCTCTAAAAAACTATATATTTTTTTATTTTTAATGTTTGGTAGAAGAAATTTAGAGTATGATAATTTAATATTTGATTTTCTTTGGGGATCAGCGAGGACGCTGACATTCAGCCCGGTGTCTGGCTCTAATATCATTTGTAACCGTTCAAGCTCACTGTTAGTAGATATTATTTGCTTTGGCCCATTACGTATAATCATTAGCCTCACAGTTTTAAAATGCGTCCATCAGGAAAGGTTTTCACACACTTATAAAGAATTTCTCATTCTCTTCTCCAATCGATGTGGGATCTCATATTATCACACGAAGCTTAAGAAACCTAACATAGTAGAGATTTTTTCCGGCCATGCAAATGGAACGAAAGTAACAATTGATTAAGTCGTATGTCTTTAATTAAAAGAACAAATGTTGGAATCTTGGTAGGGAATTTTGTTTCCCATTGAAATTTTGAATCAATTCATGGTGAATTTTAGCATTATGGTCCCTCAAAAGCTGTTTATTTTTTCTGAGACAGCAACATATTGATATTAGCTAAGCTTCCATAATATCACCACCCTCACATTTATGTGGAAGAGATAGCTGCAGGTCATGATCAACAGAAGTCTAGAAAATACCTGTTGAATGATGCCATTAAAATGACCCATATATTTCATGCATTCCTAACTTTTGATATTATCCTAAGAAATATCCATAAACTTTTAAAACTTTCAATAATACCCTTGATTTTAGAACAAAAAAAAAAAATATATATATATATATATATATTTATAGTTAGTTTAGGATGAAAGCAGTTTTTACCTTATTTAAAAAATACCCATAAACTTCTAATAGTATTTTTAAAATACTATTCAACTTTAAAAAGTTTTATTAATATCCTTCAACATTTTTAAAATTCAGAAATAAATTTATTGTTAGTACTATATTTAAAAAAATACCCATAAAATTTTTAATTAACATTAACACTATTTACCTTTCTAAAATAATAATAATAAAAAAAAAAAAAAATCTTACTATCAAAATATGGATGAAAATCGTCTATTAACACCTTATTTACAATCATTTTGAGGATACTAATGAAACTTTTTAAAAATTTAAGAGTACTATTGAAACAAATCATGAAAAATCAAAGATATTTTGATTAATTTAGCCGAATTATAATTGAAACATATGGAAGTAATGACCCAAGACAGTTTATGATCAAAAGAAGTCAATATTGAAAATGCACAAATTCCTGCTGGATGATGAATGGCTAGTAGTATGGGAGTTCATGCAGTTCTACCTTAGCTAAGCTATGAATACAGAACATGCAGAAACGCTTATTGAACGATGAATGGCTGATAGCCTTTCAGTGTGGAAGTAAAATGACCCAGATGACTTCATGCACTTGTAACTTCTGGAAACGCTATATATTTACAGTACAGTAATAGTGTGTGTTCAGCTGGGTAATAAATTACAAATATGAAGCTGGATACTCTTAAAACTGTGGCCAATGCATACCTGATTGAGAACATTCAAAGTTGATATCAAAATGAGGTGCCTTTGGCAGCTGCTACGTCGTTTAGCAGCTGACCTTGTGTATCCAATCAGCATGTATCTTTCTTATAAAGAATGCGCCAAAATTGTCAATTCCTTTGGTGGGGCTATGAAGCTGGGGCTGAGTTCACCGACTGTACTGGGAGAAGAGATTCTTGATTGCCTCTTACGAAGATTGTCAGTTCCTTTGGTGCAACAACCATTCTCAACCACTCTTGCAGTTCTTCACCTTCTACTTTTTCTTTTTCTAGATGAAAAAACATAAATCAGAAATGAATAAGAAATCTTCAACTCTAGTTTTGAGATAGGTAAGGATTTCTTTGAGTTCGCCTCAGTTTTTGTAATGGTTTTCGGTTAAGGTTATCATCTAGTTCAAGTCGCTATCTAGACTATCTTTTTACAGTGAATGAGGGACGGCAAACGATCATCTTTGTTTCTAGTTCAAGTCAGCTACCTAGACTATCTTTTTATAGCGAACGAGGGACGACAAATGATCGTCTTTGTTTCTAGTTCAAGTTGCTACCTAGACTATCTTTTTATAGCTTACGAGGGACGACAAATGATCATCTTTGTTTCTAGTTCAAGTCGCTACCTAGACCATCCTTTTGTTTCTAGCTCTATCAAAATTCATGAAAAACCGAAACAAAAAAGGAAATCAGGACACTTGGGCAATATTTTCATTCTAAGGATAGAGGATAGATAACCTTCTAAATGGGCGCCCAGCCCTTCCAAGACAGCTGGGTTTGCACGCACGACTGAAAGCGCGATCTCGAGAGCAGATTGTAGCAATGCTTTAACCTCTCTTTGAACAAGATCAACAAGATGTCCCTGCTACATATATTACAATTAATATGGACAACATATAAACATATACAATGAATTAAATAAAAGAAAGAAATTGTATAAAAATAAGAACCTGGTCCCTTCCCCAAGGAGCAGCTCCTCCAGACTCATCTATCCCACCACCAGAAAGCGTTGCCATGGACACAGGGCCTATTGTTTGGTTCAGGCCATACTCAGCCACTGCTTTGTATGCCATGTCAGTTGCTCGTTTGATATCGTCAAGTGCGCCCGTTGAAATACGACCAGAAAAGGCTACTTCTTCTGCTGCACGTCCTCCCAAAAGCGTAACCAAACGGCCACGCAACTCATCAATGAAGAGCAAATATCTATCTTCATTTGTTGGAGGAATATAGGTAAACCCAAGTGCCCCGCCTGACCTTGGTAGTATGCTCAATTTCTGATTTAAAAAATCCACGAAATGATTTAATCTTTCATGCTCGCACAACATTCACAATATAATCAACCTCAAACTACTAAAGTGAGAGTAGAGCGTTAGTACCAAACAAATCAATAACACCACTTCCACATAAGGAACAAGTCAAATCAATTAGTCAAAATAGCAGGAATTGCTTGGTCTAGAGCCAAGTTTTCCTACTAGCAAGACAATCCGAAACTAGCACTAATGATCAAATATATCTTGAATTTGATGGCAAAAAAGCACTCAGGAAAGACAACATCTTAAAAGAATCTTCAGCAGTAAGATAGACAAATTCAAGGTTAATCTGCACTAGAGCTAGAAAACGAACATCATAGGCCAACAGCTTAAATCCAATGCACCAAAATATTTCTATTTTTACCTCCACACGTGGCTGGCCAGGTATAAGATTTGCAACAGCTGTGCCTACAACTGCATGACCAGCCTCATGTCGTGCAACTACAGTCTTCTCACTTCCTTGCAATTTGGCAGTCTTCTTCTCTATGCCCTGCAACAAACAATTTCCTTCAGTTTCTTTTAAAATATTCAAATTAAAAATTCCATCCAAATGCAAACAAGGCACTGCGTCCTTCGATCAAGAGGATCCTTCCCCGAATTCTCTTTTAGTCAATCATATCAACTCATCAGACTGATATTATTACTCTGTCCATCTATAAAATAGAGAATTTACTGAAAAAATGAGATGTTCGGAATAAAATTAGATACCAAGAAACACTGAAATTCTTTTTCGGGTAGGCCCTAAAAGGAAAAGGAAGGAGACCCACGGGTAATGAATGGGAAGATCAAAAAGTTGGAAGAAGAAAGGTTTTTTGGTTAGACGTATGGATCCTGACGTGATATATCTTCGTAATGAAAATAGAGTGAGACCAATAAAAGGTAGGATCCAAAGGCTCAGTCCCTTTTTAGTCAGCGACTCAGTCCCTTCAGAAAAGATGCTGCGCAGAATTGCAAATTTGCAAAAAAGTCAGCTAATTAGCTCTACAATTATTGTCTTAAAAAAGTTGATTATCTCCGAGATTGCTACCATTGCTCTTCTTTAAGAGATTCCTTTCCTTGTTTTTTTTTTGGGGCAGGTGCCTGTGAGTGTGTGTTTGTATGGCGTGTGTGTGAGAGAAAAAGAGATTTACAGCTATCGATCTCTCCACTGCTTGAATAAAATCTTCTTTTTCCACAACATTTTTGCTTTGTCTTCCAGCCAAAAGAGCAGCTTCATTAACCAGGTTTGCAAGATCTGCCCTGCAATAAGTATAAATTCCAGTCCAATTTAAATCATCCCATCAGACCACAAAGAACTAAGATTCAAGAACTAGAAACACGTCTCATAAAATAATGGAAACAGAATACAAAATACCCTGTAAAGCCTGTGGTCATAGAAGCAATATCAATGAGGTTGACATCATCCGCAAGGGGGAGATCTTTCTTGGTAACATGTACTTTCAAAATTGCTTCCCTTCCAGTTCTGTCGGGTGTTTCCACCTAGAATGTTAAACAAATAGAGAAGAAAAAAAAAAAAGGAAAAAAAAAGACAAAGCTGAGGATTAACTTTATCATCATTCAACTTGAGAAAGTAGCAGAACCGTAATACAGGTCACAAACCATGACAACACGATCAAATCTTCCAGGTCGGCGAAGAGCAGGGTCTAAAATATCTGATCGATTGGTAGCACCAAGAACAATTACAGCAGCGTTGCTGTCAAACCCATCCATCTCCTGCGAAGCAATTTAAAAATCATTGAACTTATTGCTAATTAACTAACATAATATATTTTAGAAGCTGAAGACTCACGCATGGAAACCTACAGTAAGCAACTGATTCAAGGTCTGCTCCCTCTCGTCATTACTGACAATACGGAATTTACCATCACGACTTTTTGCTACAGCATCGATCTACAAGGTGGGGGTTCGACATTAAGAATTTTAAAGATTGTACTAGCTTTTCAATAGTTATTATCAATGTGTTCTAACCTCATCAATAAAGATGATTGATGGTGCCTCTTTCTTCGCTCGTGCAAAGAGATCTCTCACACGAGAGGCACCCATGCCAACATATAGTTCTACAAATTCACTAGCAGAACAACTTATAAAGGGTACTTCAGCTTCCCCAGCGACTGCCTTTGCCAAAAGAGTCTTACCTGTCCCCGGAAGACCCACCTGTACAATAAAAAAAAAAATTAAATTTCATACACCAGAACCCCTCTAAATTCGCAGAGGAATGTAGGGAAGCAATCCACCAGCAGGGATGGTGTTTAACAGTCTGCAACATCTAGCCCATATAATCGTTTCCAAATATACCAATAAACATGAATATAAGCTGTAATATACTCATATACAAACGAATAGACACCAAGCCCAACTAGCAAATCATTCTATTCTAATACGACTGACCTATCGATAGGAGAAGAAGACCAATAGGGGAATGAAAATTGAACGGCTCGATAGTTCTGTGTAGAAGAGCTCAACAGGGATTTTGATTAGTCAAATACTTCCCACCAAACTTCACCTTATTGGGTTTAAAAGCTAAGGGATATTATGAATGCCATAGATGTATTTAAAGCAAGTATATGCAAGCGTGTAGATAGTGTTGCACATACACGGACTTGGACCCCAACCACGAAATGGATATTTAGATAAAAAAAGACATATATGAACTTCTAAAAAGTGTCAACTTTTTTCAAACAGAAGAAGAATTTCCGTTTAATTTGTAAAAGAATAAATGAGTAAAAATGTCAAAAATCACTTCATAAAATTCTAGAGTAGAAATAATTAATAGCACGACGGATTGGCAACTCAAAAATCACTTCAAAGTTCAACAATAAAACTCCACGAAAACATCTACGTTATGAGTTTTATTATCAAACTTGCAAGAGAAACTGCATTATTCAATTTGCACATTAACCAAACAACTTGATTTATTCTTTTATTTCATAATTTCAAAGGCCTATACTAGCTAACCTAGCTTACACGCATATTGAACAATCTCAAGAGATAACCACCTAAATATAAAACTCTCAAATAAACAACTTGTAAGAAATTTGACTTCCTAATTAGGCTGCTTCCATAATTTGAACCCATACCTAAAAGAAATGGATTTATAGTTGCATTTTAGACCATTGGACCAAACAACAATGGGTAATAACTTATAATATAATAACTTTCATTGAAAAGAAAGGTAAAGAAATTTCAATGTAAAAACGGATTACGCATGCACGCAGTTCTTCCAGTTGGACCCTTGGTAGTCATGACTATTCTTCCATTAAAACTCACCAGGAGGACACCTCGAGGAGGCCGAGCACCAAGTCGAATATACCTATCTGGACTCCTTAAAAATTCCTGTGAAGCAGATTTATATTACATTATTACCATATAAACACTATTTCCCAAATAAATGAGAAATCTTCAAAAGATTATCCATGGACTAATGACATAATTGCGACAAGAAAAGAACTAAATCTATGTCTAACATACCACGATTTCTTCAAGCTCCTCTTTAGCCTCATCAACACCAGCCACATCAGCAAAAGTTATTGATTCAACTTGTTCAGAGACTTTTGCCCCACCAGAACCCCGAGACTTACGGTTCCTAATTTGACCAGCTGTATGCTAAATACAAGCAGGCACCTAATCAGAAAAAAGAGAGTACGTTTCTGAAGGTGCAACAAAAAGAAGCTTGCCATCTCATACCTGTGAAAAGGTTACAGGAAACCGATGGAGAAGCCCAGCAAGCACTACAACATAGAACAAAGCTATCTGGAAATCACAAGACAAGTATATGTTTTGCAACTTTAAAACTTTGAAATAAATGATATAGTTCAAGAACATAACAGAAATAAAAGAATGAAGTTACAGTTGAATTCTTGCTCTTCAATGTTCCTATTCCTTTCTTTAATTATGACATGGTAAGAACATGCTTTTGTATAGATCGTTTATAAAAGTTATTAGTTACATGTAAGTTTAAAACAAACACAACATGAGCTCCAAAAGACATTCAAAAGCCACTGAATCCATTTGTTCATCCTGCTAGCGAAATAATAATCACTCCGCTCTTATCAAGCTAGAACTAGAATTTGGACATTGTTTTTTAACAATATCAAATGCATTGAACATGAGATAACTGTTAGGAATCAAGACTCTCCACAATGGTATGATATTATCCACTTTAAACATAAGCTCTCATGCTTTGCTTTGGGCTTCCCTAAAAGGCCTCATACCAATGGAGATGTATTCCTTGCATATAAACCCATGATCATCTTCTAAATTAGCTAATGTGGGACTCCCTCCTAACAATCCTCAACAATAAATGCCCAAATAGTTATAGAAAGATACAGTAGCATAACACAATAATTGAAGCTCACCAGAGCAGAGTTCAAGAATCCATTTGACCGCTTATCCGGTGACCCAAATTCCACTGCATTTTCAAACATCTTATCATAAGGAGTTTTAATATCACTTGGCCTGGTAGTCGTATAAACGATTCTTTTAGTCGGATTAACACTTCTTATCAATGAGTCTGATTCCTGCAGCTTGCTTCCACTAATGATTTCACTTTCCTGAGTCCCTGGTTCAGACTTCAACTTAAACATGATGTTCACACCATCCACTTCCACCTTCTGCACATTATTACTGTTGATCTTGCTTAAGAAGTCACTGTACGGAACACTTATGAATGTCGTCATTGTCCTAGGCTCAGAGCCTGGTAATGGAATCCCAGGGCGAACCAACCGCATAACAAAAACTAAAATTCCAAGCTGTAGAAGCAAAACTCCAATCTCTTGGGCCTGAACTATAGGCTGCCACCGCCATTTCCCACCTTTAGACCACCACCAACCTCCTCCTTTTCTGTGCTTCTCCTTCCTCCGGTTTGACGAAGAACCAGAATCCGTTGTGTTCTTACTCACCCTCTGAGTTTCGCTTGGTTTAGCTTCACTTTTCTCCCCTGAACCACCTGTGGAATCACTATCCCTATCATTTGCACATATCTTGATATTCCTAGATCCGAATTTTCCCGCGAAACCTCCCCAAATGTTAAATCTATCCGAATTTTTTGAAGGCCCTAATCTATATAACTTTACAGAGGGCAAGGGCACCGAATTCGGAACAAAACGGTTTGAATTCTGGTGATACACCCTAGATTTATAACGGAGAACCCCCAATCCATTCCAACAGCGAAGATTACAATTCGAATCGAGATGAAACCTGGTTCGAATTACCGGACTTAAAGACTCTACCGATGTCATTTCGAAGTTCCAGAAACCGAAATCAAAATCAAAATCTCCAAATCGAACTAAGTATCTTTCCCATTATCATCTACACGAACAAAAACCAAAAATCCAAAAAAAAAAAATCTATGGATGTGAGCAGTGCACCTGGAAAAAAAATTTCGATTATGAAAATTGCTGCTCTAGAGATAGAGAGAAGAGAGGGAAAAGGCGGGGAAATGTGAAGGAAAAATTCAACTTACAATCTGGACTGTCGGATGAAGTTGGGTAGGGATACTAGGCCGTTGGCTTCATTTTTACGCCTTCAACTTGGTAGCCTTATCCGTGGCCCCGCCTTTATGGGGCTTCTTGTAAATATATACAAACAAAAAAATTATATTAAAAAAAAAGTTTTGTTTCTATCCTCTGCTATGCGTTTCATGGGAAGTATTGTATTCTGACTTATGGTAGCACGACACGTGTATATCAAGGGAGAAGATATTATTGGCAAATTATGTCGTTTCTCCCTCGTCAAATAGTGAGCACTTCTTTTATTCACGTAATAAAAGTTTTTTTATGGTCTTAATTCAAGTTAAATTAACCTATGAAAAGTTTTTTTTTTTTTTTTGTAATAATTAATATATAATAATTTTGTCTATAAATTAAATAGTAATAATTTAATTATTAATTCTTATTCGGAAAAAATCTATCAAAATTATCAAACTATATAATGAGTTAATTGTTGTGTCTCAAACAATTTATTGATTTACCATGATAAAAAATAATTCATCATAAAATTTAAATTATATGGATTAAATTGTTACTTATTAAAATTTATATTCTTAATTATTATAAAATTTAAAATATAAAAAGTTATAAATTAAATTTAATGAAAAAATTTTAGATACCAATCCATAAATTTATGAATTTATTATTATGATTATTATTATTATTATTGTTTTGAAAGATATGTTGTGTTACAGTATAAGGGGTGAAAAAATAGGAAAAAATACTGTTTTTTTCAAGTATACGTAAAAAAAAGTACATCATTAAAGAGATTTAATCACAGAAACTAATTTAATTTTTTTTAATAATAGTGCCTAATTGGCAACTAAGCCAAAATTAAATATCAAAACTAGACGTCAATCACCGTTTCAAAGATCGATAACTAATTCTCCCATTTTTACACCGTAGTCAATTCTTAATACGCTCGATTAATAACTTTGGTTAACAAAATGATTTATAAGATTTAACCAAAATATGAAGTTAAAATAGACCCTTATAAAAACTTTAAAAATATTTTATACATTATGTGATTAATATTTTAAAAATAAAGTATTATATTAAATTTAAATTATATGTTATTTACTTTTTTACATTAGAAGATATGTTAATATTTGTTAAGATTTAAAGACCTAATAAAGTTTTTTTAAAATTTAAAGATAAAATTATAAAATTAAATAAAAAATATTTATATAAATTATAGGAATAAATTTACAATTTAACTGAATTTTAAACTAATCATTGGAAAGTGGATAAAGAGAAAAAACAGGATATCAAAATGCGCGCCTTCCTTCGGCTACCTGTTTGCTATTTTGTCTTACAACATTCAAAAGATAGGGCCCTGAAATTGAGGATCTCTCTTCTCTGCTCATCGCCAATCGAAACATTTTCTAAAAATGAAGAATGAAGATGCAGCGATTCGGAAATGCTTCTATCAATCTTCCAACTCGTAATTTTATCGTAAGTTCCCTTGACGAAGAAGATCATTCCAATTTTCAGTTTCGCCCATTTTTCTGCATCGTCATTGACCTCCGTTGTCTCGAGGACTCTATCTTTTCTGATCGATTATTCAGATTCTTTGGTCTCTCTTGTGATTTAGCTTAGATCAGATCTTATTGTATTGAAGAGAAATGGGAATCGATGCAGAAGATATCAAATTATGCGTTTGTAGAATTGTTCATCTGTCCCTTAGGGTTAGTCATAGATTTGTACAGAAGCGTCCTTATATGGCCGGTACATTGTTGTGTCTCTTCATCTTGTACATTTTTCTGCCGTCTGTTCTTAGTTTGATGTTTTACAGTTTGCCATTTATTGGCTTAATTGGAATGCTCCTGGCCTTTCGGACTTCTAGAAAGTCCACAATTCGAGTTGAGAAACTAGAAGATAAAAAAATAGAGGTCTCTAAACTGTCGACGGCCACAATTACTAGAAATCGTAGCGCCTACTTACGAAATGCAACCAGTCGGCGACAACGATTCAAAGAAAAGAGTGAAGCATGGAGACCGGAAGCTACCAATGCTTCCGGAGGAAGCACGGATCTTTCGGTTGAATCCGATAACTCGAAATCATTGATCGAGGTGAAAGAAACACAATCTATTGACTCTGTAAATAATAAATCTGGTCATTGTACGTCAGTTGAGGAAGATATTGAAGTTTCCAATAAAGAAGAACCGATTTTAGGCTCGGAGTTAGTAGTAAAACCTGATGTCGTAGCTTGTGATGGCTTAAGCTCCCAGACTAATAAATCTGATAGCGGTGGCGATGAGACGAAGAATGAAAGCTCGGAAGATCCAGAGGATGAAGATGAAGAGGAGGCACGAGAGGATAGGAATAAAGCTGTGGAGTGGACAGAAGATGATCAGAAGAATTTGATGGATCTTGGGCTTTCAGAGATTGAAAGGAACAGAAGATTGGAGAGCCTTATTGCGAGGAGAAGAGCCAGAAAGTTGTACAGACGAAAAAATGAAGAAACTGCTCTAACAGTCGACATTTTTCCTCCAGGTCAAATTCCCAAAATTATCGCTACAAGGAATGGTCTGCTCAATTTGGTAGATGGTTGTAGAGAGATGGAAGGCGTGTCATGGCCTGGTTCTGCTCCTTCTATTTTGTTGCCAACGAGAAATCCTTTCGATCTTCCATATGATCCACATGAAGAGAAGCCAAATCTGATGGCCGATAGTTTTCAACAGGAATTCACAGCAGCCCACCAAAAGGAATTAGCATTCTGCAGACACGAGAGCTTTTGTTTTGGACTCACTTACCCAGAAGAAATTGGGGGACTGGGATACCACCCCAGATATCGAAGACCTTCAAGTAATATAATTAATTCTCCTTTCACTTTTTGTTTTTTCTGCATCTTCTTATTTCATTACTAACTGTTTACAAACTATAAGTATTAACAAATGAATTTTTTTTATGTTAAATTGTATATCTGATTCCTGTGACATATGGGCCTCATTTCAATTTGGTTCTAAGAATTTCTTTTGTTTAAATTTCATTTTGGTCTCTGAATTGTTCTATTTTGGTTTTTGAACATTTCCTGTTGGGTATAAACTTATGAATAGTTTCTTTCGAATATTGTTCAAGTTTTTAGAAGCCCCCACCCTTTGAATTTCAAGCTGACAAGAAAAGGGTGAAGGCATCACTGAACTGACTCAAAAAACTATGGTGTCTTTGTTTTAGTTTCGATTGCAGATAAAGGCGAGCACGATTGGCTAATTGAACAGCTATTATTTAAAAGCGATCAAGTCCCCCGCCCTGCAAAAGATCCTATTGATATAGAAACCAGAAGCATTCAAACTGAAGATTCAACACAAACCAGAGATGCTAATTCAATGGAGCTTGAAAGCGATCAAGAGAAGGAGATTCCGCCAGATTCCGAGAGTGAACTTGAAATGGAACCAGAACTGATGCAAGACGGTAATAGCCAATCAAGTCATTCATCTTCATTGGATAAACCCGAAGATTTGATCTGTGATGATGTCAGAGTGGTTTCAAAAAGCACCGAGTCAACATTGAGCAGTGCAGTGAACAAAAACTTGAACTGCAGAGTATTAAAGAGCAAATTAATAAAGGAGACACTCTGTGAGTTTAGCCCCATGGCATTTGATAAGAACAAAATGGAGGAGCGTTTTCCCTATCCAGATAAAGTGGTGTGTCACACTCCAACTTACTCCATTGCTTCTGACATGCAAGTAGAGGTCTCTGAAATTGGCTCCCCTCCGACTGTGGATGGGAACAATACTGATGGAGAATCGTTGAACCCTGACTGGGAGATTGAAAAGGAGGCAAGTTTTGGAGGTGAACAAGATGACTTGGGTCCGTTGATGGAGGTGCGGTTTAATGAGATTGTATCGGGTGTACAGGAGGAAAAAGTAAAGGCATTGAGTGTCAAAGAAGCATCGTCCCCTAAAACTATTAAAAGTCCAATGGCCGAGGAGCTGGTGGATTATCCTTCTCAAGTTGTCCCTCAAATGCCTGAGGTCAGTCTCTATCTTCATGCAATTTTGATTGGTTGAAGTCTGCTAACCATGAATTTGACATACCCAACAAAAGTAACCAAAAGGAACAAATGAATTTTATGCAGATATTTCATTGAAATTGTTTGAATTGTAACTGCAATGTGTATTTACTTTACATACGTTCCGAAAGAAATTACAAACTTATAAGCATACTGCTGATTCACTTTGTTGCAGGAGTTGTCTTTTCCCACAGATGATGATGAAGAAGCGATAAGTTGCATTGTTGACCAAATAAATCCAGAAGCTCTAGTGAACTTGGAAAACATGGCAAAAACCAGTGAAGATGGAGACAATGGATTGGAGATATTGGTCAAACAAGAGGACGATGGAAATGGAACAAGATCGTTGGAGGAGACTGACCGAAACTCTAGCAAATCTTTTAATGTTGGTTCGGAGGATTCTTCTGGATGTCAAGCCCACTTGCACCATGAACATTCAGAAGAAGGAAACAAAAATATGGATCAAATTACTGTGAATGGAGATCTAGGCTGTGCTCATAAACATCTAGAAGAAGAAATTAAAAGCAAGGATAAAATTACTGGCAATGGAGATCTTGGCCGGGCTCATGAACATTCAGAAGAAGGAAGTAAAAACACAGATCAAATTACTGGCATTGGAGATGTTATAGAGCCAAGAAAGGTTGAAGAACAATTTGAGTTTATTCACGACAATAAGAATCAACCGAATGTCGTGGAAGCTGAATTACAGAGTTCTAAAAATTCCTTGAAATTGCCTGTAGAGGACGACTCGGTCAGTTATGGACGAGTGCCTCTTGCTTTCAATGACATAAACACTTCAGAAAATCAACAAAGTGAATTTCAGAAGTCTATTGAAGATCTTGTAGAGCCAAGAAAGGTTGAAGAACAATTGGAATTCATTCAAGACAAAAAGAATCAACCAAATGCCGTGGAAGCTGAATTACAGAATTCTAAAAATTCCTTGAAATTGCCTGTAGACAACTCGGTCACTTATGGAGGAGTGCCTCTTGCTTTCAACGACATAATGTGTTCTAGCGCTTCAAAAAATCAAGTAAGTGATGTAAAAAGTGAATTTCAGAAGTCTAATGAAGCTTTTGTAGAGCCAAGAAAGATTGAAGTACCATTGGAGTTGAAACAAGACAATAAGAATCAACTAAATGTTGTGGAAATTAAATTCCAGAGTTCTAAAGATACCTTGAAATCAACTATGGAGGACGACTTGATTAATGATGGAGGAGTGCCTCTTGAAATAGTCTCTGATGCATCACAGAATCAAGTAAATGCTGTGCAAAGTGAATTTCAGAAGCCTAACGATGTCATGAAATCAACAGTGGAGCAAGACTCGGTCACTGAAAGAGAACTTCTTGATACCACAGCAGGATTATCTCCAGAGTCTTCAATGGAAAAACAAGTCCATATGGACAAGGTCTCCTTATCACAGGTTCGGTTTCGAACATAATAAATTTCTTTGTTGCTCTGAATTTCTAGATTTTAGTTTTATGATTACTACACTTCTGCTTATAAAATTACTTTTCATTTTTAGAAATACTTTCTGAAATGTTTCCCAAAATTTTAAAAGTATATCTGAAAGTTGATGGGAGAACAAAGGAATACCAAACTAAATAAATGTGGTTCTAGAAATAGAAAAGGTGGGGCCTGGATTTGAACCTTTAACCTAAAGGGTTGGTTGCTATGCTCGTGTTGGTATGCACAATGGCTCGAGATGAATTTAAGTTGGGCTTTGAAACAAGAGATTCTCGGTGAAATAAGCACTTTTGGAGGAAGAATCAATGACATACTTCTCCTAAAAGTCCTAGAGGTACTCCCAAGGATTAGCTTTGTAAGTGCTTAAAAACATTATCTTTGTAAATAAAAACATTTTGTAATCACTTGAAATGTTCATCAAAACAGGTGCTTAAAATTTGCCAAGTCACTTGTGACATCTAATGAAACAATGTGTGTGAGATCCTACATCAGTTGGAGAGGGGAATGAAGCATTCCTTATAAGGATGTGGAAACATCTCCCTAGTGGATGCGTTTTAAAACTTTGAGGGGGAATGAAGCATTTCTTATAAGAGTTTGGAAACCTCTCCATAGGGGATACGTTTTAAAACTTTTAGGGAAAGTTCAGAAGGAAAAACCTAAAGAGAACAATATCTACTAGCGGTGGGCTTGAGCTGTTACAAATGGTATTAGAGCTAGGCATCGGGCGGTGTTCCAGCAAAGACGCTGGCCCCCCAAGGGGGGTGGATTGTGAGATCCCACATCGGTTAGAGAGGTGAACGAATCATTTCTTATAAGGGTGTGGAAACCTCTTTCTAGTGGACGCGTTTTAAAACCTTGGGGGGAAGCAGGAAAGGAAAAACCCAAAAATGACAATACCCCCACATGAAAATTTCTTAAAATACTTTTAATGAAGGGTCTCGTAAAAGTCATTTCAAGCTTACTGTTAACCACTCCAAACTCACCCCATGACTCTACATAACACAAATCACTTACATTGTTCTTTGTATGTTTCTTTTTCAAGTGCATGTTCAAGGTACAATGGGAATACAATTGCTATTTTGACTCCAATATCTTTGACTTTTAATGCATTTTAACAGGATCCCATCGTGTTCCACGAGAATAACCCAAAAACCATGGAGAAGGATGATAATAAGCCTGCTGACTCCGTCGAAGCCAAAAACAAGTTCATCAAAGACCTTTCAGAACAAAAGGGTGAAAAATCCAACTTGGATGCCAAGCATGAACTTGAAAAAACAAATCAGAATTTGAGCTCACCAAACTCAGAGCCCAATGTTGATGTGAAAATCGCAGAAATCACTGTACAAGATGAGGTAATTCTTCCTTTTGTCTCCAGATATTATTATCTTTCAAATTTCAAATCTAAATATCAATGCAGACAATAAAACCGAGACCTCAATTCTGTGAAGAAATTTATAGAAATGTCATAAAATATGAAGAAATTTATTTTGGTTAATTTGGTGCTTATTTTAGTTTTTTAACTGTCTGCATATTTTGGATGAGTACTAAAACAAAATAGAATATATGTCTCGATTGATAGAATCTAATGATTATTATTTCTTGGTATATCATAAATATTTGGTATATGTAGATAGGTAGCTTATTAGTATTTATATTCATGTAGAAGATAAATTCTTCATGTAACGATTATTATTTTCTTGATATATCATAAATATTTGTAAATGTCATAATATATGTCGATAGGTAGCAGAAATTACAGCCAAAGAAGTTGAAGTTGAAACTGAACCAACACCCATTACCAACAAAAACATGGAAGCTGTTGGAGGTAATATATTGTAAATTTCATAAATAAAAAAAGAAGAAAAAGAAAAAAAAGAAAACAAGAATCTGATGTTGAGGATGATGACATGGAGAGTTGCTCCAAAGATTTGAATGGCAACCACTGCAATCTAAGAGCAAATGTAATGGGCCTGCAAAAGCCCACATGTTTGGCCCATGAAAGCCCAGTAGATTCTTCATCGTCTGCAGATTAAGGGTCCCTGAATTGTGGCTTGTTATTTTGTAGTAGTCATTTATGACTGAAGTTATTTTAAGACTGAAGTTATTGATTAGTTGTAACTAAAATCAAATGTAATTAATAGTCCGACAATTATTATTAAATCTCCTATTGATAATGATTTTGAAACTAGTAGGTTTAGTTGTGATATCTCGCACTTCTTAAGAAGATTCATGTCGTTTAGGTGTGTTTATTTATCGACCACGGGTGCAAATAGTCTTATCTTACATATTCTTTTCAAGATACAACAACCTAATTGAAATGTTAATTCAAACAACTGAGTGTGCAAACTCAAACCTCTACAACAAATAATGTTTTTAGCCAATTGCGGGACTCGAGGTTATTTATTTAAAAGGGTAGACTCCAATAAACAATACATATTAAATCGTTCATAAACTTTTAAGTTCTATTTGATTTATAAAAATTCAATTGCATAATAAATTTATAATCAGACTCTTTCAATGAAGTTTATCCTCCCATCTATCTCGCTGAATGAAGAAGGCTGAGAGTGTGTAGCGAAGGATATTGGGATAGGTCAAGTTCCAGTGGGGATCGGATCCTTGTATCCTGCTAGCGAGTCCTTCCACCTGAGAATCAAATAAAGTCTTTTCTGTTAAAGTTCAGTAAACCTTTGTACGATATATCTTGCTCTTGTTTTGTTCGATCAAATCAAACCTGCTTCAATTTTATGTTTAATAAATTTATGTTTGAATATGGGAAAATTTGAGTTGGAAATGCTAAATTCGTGGATTCCTAAACGGATATACCAAAAATTTAATTCTCAAAGATATGAAAATTTTGAGTATTTGTCAAAAGTTGAAAAGCAACCAAAACAAGATGCCTTGTTTAGATACTAAATTAATGGCAAGTTTAGATACTAAATTAACCAAAACAAGATACTTCTTCATTCCGCATTGCGTTGCGCGTTCTTCATAGCTCGAGCTCTGAGGAAAAAAGAAGAAATGGAGCCTACCAATTACATCTACAGGAATCCTAACGCATCCGTAGAAGATCGGATCAAAGATCTTCTCTCGCGGATGACTTTGGCGGAAAAAATTGGTCAGATGACTCAAATCGAGCGCACTGTGGCCACTCCCTCTGCCCTTAGGGATTTCGCGATCGGTAATTCGTTGCTTGTGTTCTTCAATTCCATTGCCTGATTGCTCTGATTTGTACTGTGGCTGTTTGATTTGTAGGGAGCGTTCTCAGTGCCGGCGGTAGCGCGCCTTTTCATCAAGCGGTGTCGTTGGATTGGGCGGAGATGATTGATCGGTTTCAGCATTCGGCGCTTCAGTCGCGGCTTGGAATTCCGATCATATACGGGAGCGATGCTGTCCATGGGAATAACAATGTTTATGGTGCGACGATTTTTCCTCACAATGTTGGCCTTGGAGCCACCAGGTTAGTAAATTCTTCTTTATTATTGAATTTTGTGTTGAACTTTGAAAATCACGATGAAGTGTTTGGGGATGAACTGGTAAATCGGCTACCTGCTTATTTGAATTCTTGAATTTGTATTCTCTTTACCGTTCATATTCATCCAATTCTTGAATTTTCTGTTGAACTTTGAAATTCACGATGGAGTGTGTGGGGATGAACTGGTGAATCGGCTAACAGCTGATTTGTTTTCTATGGCTTAGTTGTTTGTTTTCCAAATCCAGTTTCTCTCTTCGAATTCTGTTCGTTCTCTCTCTCTCTCTCTCGCTCTTCTTTTTCTTCTTTTTTTGGTCTTTTTTTTTACTATTATTTTTATTTTTCCTTATTTATCTCTCTCTCTAACTTTTTTTTTTGTTATTTATCTCTATTTTTCATTATTATTCTGAGTCTCCGATTTTAGCAATATAGCATATTTATTATCGTACTAAGTAATTGGGAATAAAAAATTATATAATTTTAACGGTATTTATTTAATAAATAATCTAAAATATAAGATATTTTATTTATGTTAAAAGTTTCATTAATACAAAAAAAAAAAAAAAAAAAATCATTGATTAATACTTTGTTTAAGAATATACCATTAAACTTTTGTAACGGATTTTTATAAAGATAAAAGAGGGTTAACTTTATTTTAAAATTTCATGATTTTTTTAATGAGATTTTTTTTTTTTTTGAAGTTCAGGTATATTTTTATTCATTTAGCCTATTATTTATAATAAATTTATTAATGAATGAAAATTAAATTAAAATCTAGTTTGACTTAAGAAAATTAAATTAGAAAATTAAGTGACGTTAATTAACTGTTGGAAGTTTATTTGAGTAATTTTGATGCTTTATAATTATTTATTAACTAATGAAAATTAATTAAAATTTAGTTGGTTATAATTATTTTAATAATTTGAGTTAATAAAAAAAAATTAACGGACAATAATTACTTAATTATTATAATAAATTATTCTTCAACTTCGTACTTTTTCTAAAAAAAATGCCCATCCGTTTCAATTTTATTTTCAAAAGAAATATAAAAGAATCTCAGTATGATTTAAATGGATGATAGAGATGCTGATTTGGTTAGAAGAATCGGGACGGCAACAGCTCTTGAAGTTAGGGCGAGTGGTGTTCACTATGCATTTGCCCCTTGTGTTGCTGTAAGTAGTCATGTATAACTGTATAATATGTCTGTGTGTTATATATAGTTTTTCTCCTTTCATTGCGTATGTCCTCGATTAACATATTTTTTTGTTGAGGAGGGTTGGGAGGGAGTCCCACACTGACTAATTAAGGGGATGGTCATAAGTTTATAGGTAAGTAATACATCCCTGTTGATACGAGGCCTCTTGGGGAAATCAAAAGTAAAGCCATGAGAGCTTATGCTCAAGGTGGACTCATACCATTGTAGAGGTTTGTGATTCTTAACTTGGTATCAAAGTCATGCCCTTAACTTAGCTCGGTCAATAGAATTCTCAAGTGTCGAACAAAGAAGTAGTGAGCCTTGAAGGTGTAGTCAAAAGTGACTCAAGTTACTTTTTTGGGGCTCCAGAGAAGGAGTCAAGTCTCGATTAAGGGGAGGATGTTCGACAGCTTCATAGGTCTTAGGGGAGGCTCTGTAGTCTACTTTGTTTGAGAGGAGGATGGTTAGGAGGGAATCCCACATTGGCTAATTAAGGGGATGCTCATGGGTTTATAAGTATGAGATCCCACATCGGTTGGAGAGGGGAACAAAGCATTCCTTATAAGGGTGTGGAAACCTCTCTCTACCAAACGCGTTTTAAAACCGTAAGACTGATGACGATACATATCGGGCCAAAGCAGACAATATCTGCTAGCGGTGGGCTTGAGCTGTTACAATAAGTAATAAATACATCTCCATTGGTATAAGGCCTTCTAGGAAAACAAAAAACAACAAAATCACGAGAGTTTATGTTTAAAGTGGACAATATCATGCCACTATGGAGATCCGTGATTCCCAACGGTTTTCAGTCTCTACTAGAAGCATCCGTTTCACAAATGGTCTCCTAAGAAGTTTTTATTTATTATATGTTCTATCAGAGTGAAAAATGTATTCACTTTAAATAATTATGTCAGGTAACCAGAGATCCAAGATGGGGAAGGTGCTATGAGAGTTACAGTGAAGATACTGAAATTGTTAGAAAAATGACTTCTTTAGTTGAAGGGTTGCAGGGGAAGCCGCCTGAAGGGTACCCAAAGAGCTATCCATTTGTAGCCGGAAGGTATACAGAACAGTTTGTCCATATTTCCTGTTTGCTCTGAATGTTCTTGTAGATCCCTTCTAATTGTTTATTTCTACTTACCTCAGAAATAATGTTATAGCATGTGCTAAACATTTTGTTGGAGATGGGGGAACTGATAAAGGTTTGAATGAAGGAAATACCATTACATCTTATGATGACTTGGAAAGGATCCATATGGCTCCTTACCTGGACTGTATAGCTCAAGGAGTTTCAACTGTTATGGCATCTTATTCGAGCTGGAACGGACGTCCGCTTCATGCCGACCGTTTTCTGCTGACAGAAGTTTTAAAAAACAAGCTTGGGTTTAAGGTTTATTGGACATTGATCTTTTCTGCTACTTATTTATTGTGTTTGTATTTGTTAGACCCAAATTTGCTTCTTATCGTCTGTCACGCGGTCATATTTTCTGCTTAGAGCGTTCATGCATTTCGAGTTATCCTCAAAGTTAATTAAGGGGTTGATCATGGGTTTATAAGTAGGAATACATTTCCATTGGTATAAAGCTTTTTGGGAAAACCAAAAGTAAAGCCATGAGAGGTCATGCTCAAAGTGGACAATATCATATACCATTGTGGAGAGTCGTGATTTCTGACATGGTACTAGAGGCATGCCCTTAACTTAACCATGTCAATAGAATCCTCAAATGTCGAAAAAAGAATTCTAAAAAATGACTCTCAAGTGTCGAACAAATGGTGTACTTTGTTCGAGGGCTCCAAAGAAGGAGTCAAGCCTTGATTAAGGGGAGAGGCTGTTCGAGGGCTCCATAGACCTCAAGAGAGGCTCTATGGTGTACTTTGTTCAAGGGGAGGATTATTGAAGATGGTTGAAGATTGTTGAAGATTGTTGGGAGAGGAGTCTCACATCTGCTAATTAAAGGGTTGATCGTGAGTTTATAAGTAAGTAGTACATCTCCATTAGTATGAGGCTTTTAGGTAAACCAAAAGCAAAACCACGAGAACTTATACTCAAAGTGGGTAATATCATACCATTGTAGAGATTCGTGGTTCCTAACATAACTGTTACATTGTTTTGGTATTACTCGATGCAGGGTTTTGTTATATCCGACTGGGAAGGAATTGATCGTCTTACCCGACCAAGAGGCTCGAACTATCGATTTTGCGTCTCAGCTGCAGTTAATGCTGGAATAGACATGGTAGATTTAAGGCCTAAACTACAAATTCATCATTTATTGGTTACTTGAGATTTAAGTATCAAGTTTAAAGAACGAAATCGATATGCAGGTAATGGTGCCGCTTCAATATGATCTGTTCATCAAGGAATTGCTGTTTCTGGTAGAATCTGGGGAGATTCCAATGGCTAGAATTGATGATGCTGTTGAACGGATATTGAGAGTCAAGTTCGTTGCTGGTGTTTTTGAACATCCTTTCAGTGATAGATCATTGCTAGACGTTGTTGGCTGCAAGGCAAGTTTCTGAGCTTTAAAACTTTTTTCTTCTCAAACCATTTTTAATATTCATGATGCTTCGTTTCAGCTTCACCGAGATCTAGCTAGAGAAGCTGTTCGCAAGTCATTGGTTCTGTTGAGAAATGGTAAAGACCCAATGAAACCCTTTCTTCCCTTAGACAGGAAAGCCAAGAAGATTCTTGTGGCTGGTTCACATGGTGATGATCTTGGATATCAGTGTGGAGGGTGGACAATGTCATGGGATGGGATGTGTGGCAGAATCACGATTGGTATATACCTTGCTGCATCTATTCTCAATCTAGAGTTATTTTCTAGTTTTGTTTAATAATATTTCTATTATGTATAAACTAGTTGTAATAGCTCAAGCTCACTGCAAGCAGATATTGTCCTATTTGGGCTTTACCTTTCGGGTTTCTTCTCAAGGTTTTTAAAACTTGTTTGTTCGGGAGAGGTTTTCACTCACTTATAAAGAATGTTTCATTCCCCTCTCCTATAAAGAATGTTTCGTTCCCCTCTCCAACTAATGTGGGATCTCACAATCCCCCCTTCGAATTCAGTATCCTTGCTGGCATACCACCCGAAGGGGGTGGATTGTGAGATCCCACATCGGTTGGAGAGAGAAACGAATCATTATTTATAAGGGTGTGGAGACCTCTCCCTAGACCCTTGGCCCCGAAGGGGGTGGATTGTGAGATCCTAGATTAGTTGGAAGGGGAACGAAACATTCTTTGTAAAGGGTGGAAACCTCTCCCTAGACGTGGGCCCCAAAGGGGGTGGATTATGAGATCCCAACGTCGATTGGAGAGAGGAGCATACCATTTTAAGGGGAAGTTCGAAAGGGAAAATCCAAAAAGAATAATATCTGCTGGTGGTGGACTTGAGTTGTTACACTAGTTGAGTTATGTTTAAGTTATTGAATCTAAGTGATTGTTATCGTTCTTAGGCACCACCATCTTAGATGCAATCAAAGAAACGGTTGGAGACAAAACAGAGGTAATATACGAGGAATATCCATCAACAGACACCTTGAATGATCGAGATATATCTTTTGCTATCGTGGTTATTGGTGAAAGTCCATACGCCGAATTCACCGGCGACGACTCGAAGCTCATTATACCGTTCGACGGAAATGACATTGTAAAAACAGTTGCTAGCAAAATCCCCACACTGGTAATTATAATATCTGGTAGACCTCTTGTTTTAGAGCCAACAATCATGGAGAATGTTGAAGCTCTCATAGCTGCTTGGCTTCCTGGAAGTGAAGGAAGCGGGATCACCGATGTTATCTTTGGCGATTACGATTTCACGGGTCGATTACCAGTTACGTGGTTTAGAACGATCGAGCAACTCCCAGTCCATGCTGAGAATAATTTGCAAGATTCATTATTCCCTTTTGGCTTTGGGTTAACACATGGTAAGGAGAAATCTCATGAGTGATCATATGAGTTCAGTCATGAACTGAATATATTCTACAGGAAATTGTGCTGATAGTTTGTGGGGGAGTTTGTATGCGTTGTTTTTAGTTCAATAAATTTGGCTCAGTTTTTTGTTGGAATCGTGTAGAGTTTGTACCATAAAAAATGGCGGTATGTTGTCATCGTAGTAGATATTGTTTGTTTTAGCCCGTTACGTATCACTGTCAGCTTCATGATTTTAAAATGTATTTACTAGGGAGAGGTTTCCATCTCCCTTGGAGACCCAACGTTCTCGCTAATACGCCGCTCGTTATTTAGCTTTGATACCATTTGTAATGGTCTAAGCCGACTGCTAACAGATATTATCTACTTTAGTCTGTTATGTATTGTTAGCCTCACAGTTTTAAAATACGTCTACTAGGAAGAGGTTCACACCTTTGTAAAGAATGTTTCGTTCATCTCTCCAACTAACGTGAGATCTCATTTTCCATTCCTCTTCAACTTGGGCTTTTATAGTTTTACTATGATATTTGAGGAGATCAAATATCTTCATTAGTTTGAGATATTTTGGTTTCACAAAGCTAGTGCCTTCATGCCAAAAATAAAATGGACCACATCACTAACTTTCCTATGACATAAATGGAAGACAACCTTCTCAAGGAACATTGTTGATCTTACCCTCGTCAAGAGGTTGATGATGCAATTGCATAAGGTCGAGAAGACAACACTTTCCCTTGCATATCATGTGCGATATGGGTTGCAAGTGTCACAATTGCACTCTTGTGGTAGAGGGACAGAAATTGTACAACACTTGTTCTAACTCCAACGAACAAGTTAGCTATGAGAAATTCGAACGACAACGTCGGCGTATGATCGAACCTCGAGTCACGTTTGCAAGAAATGTTTTAGAAAACATGAGTAAGGAAATACATTCGAAAACAAAAATTAAAGAAAGCAATGTTATATAACTATAAACAAATAAAGAAACACTACGGTTTAAATAACATATAATTCAGGGCAGGAAAAGGTGACAACTAGTCATATTCTCTATAATACATTTTGAGGCATTTTAGCCCTATAGCAGGTGTAGACATGATCTTGGTGAATGTTCATCTACGGAAGTATTTACACAACATGAAATAGATTTTGATGAAAGCATGTAAAATAGCTTTGGAATTGGCATGCGCCCATAAACAAGACGTCCTGTACAAACATGATTGGGACATTCAACATACAGCCGTAGACAATACACCTTAGACAAGTATGGCCGTGACAATAGGCAGCCTCCATCCTGACCCCAAAACCTCCTTCTACCGAGCTACTACGATTACGCCTAAGGACGTACCCATAAGGAAGATCCATTCCTTACTAAACCGTTGAAATTTTGAATTGAAGAAAGCAATTCACGAGCAGGAAAAAGCGACGCCATGGTGGACCAGGTAAAAGGCTGGGAAGTCCAAATCATCCATAGGGTAGACGGATAAGGATCTGCAGATATTTTTTCTGGTTGAATCAAAAAGTGGGATCCCTTTTGAATTTTGGGCCCCAAAATCTCTGTACCATTTCACCAAACTAATAATGGCGGAGCCAAAAATATCTGCCATTTCCTTTCTCCGATTGATTCCATCCAGATAAAAACCGATTCGTCTCTCGTTGAAATACGATCGAAAAAGCAGATTCAGAGAATCAACGGCAATGGAGAACGGCAGAAAGCCCGGAAGGAGCGACGGTCGTCTATCAATGGAGGAGGAAAGAGAGATGGAGGCCAAAACTCGAGACTACTTCAATGGCGTCGCACCGAAGCGCCACACCAAGCCTCAGCGCAGCGAGTTCTCTGCTCATTACGTCGACAAAGTAAATGGCATGGACGATTACATTCCTGAACTCGCTGAGTTTAAGCGCCTCGAATCCGATCCTCTCGAGGTTAGTTTTCGGATCGATTTTCTTGATTAAGCTTTCCGTTAGTGGATCATGTATTCGATCCTCCAACTCTATGAAATGCAGTATACTGATTGTGTTTTTCGAATTTGAAGCTGAATTGGCGGTTCTACGTTGTAGTTACGATTAGGAAAAGGAATGGAATCGGATGTTGATGCGTATATTGCGTTAATTTGTGGAGAAATTGAATTAACTGTGACTAACATGAACGTTTTCATTCTGTCGAATCCTCCCATTGTTTTGAAATTTGAGCAGAGACTTGCTTATGATGGCCGTAACGGCAACATCCCTGATGAATTTGTGGAGACGAAGTATTATGACGATCTCAATTGTGTAGACAAACAGCACCACACGGTATTCTCTAGTCCATCGATCATCGATTATGATCTTTGTCTGCATGTGTGTGTGTGTGTTAACGAAGAAGATGAATTTTGCTTTCAGACAGGAACAGGATTCATAAGAACGGAGAATGGAGATTGCAAAAGTTTCAGGCTCGAAGTAGATTCTGCTGCCTGCTGCCATGGCTCTTGCAGGGGTAATCCGGCGACCAACGACTGGATTCCGGCCACTAATGATCTGGTAAAATCACCGTAATCCACTTCAACTCATTCATTGTGTTTGCTTGGATAAATTCATACGACTGAAGATCTTTTTTCGATGTGTACGTGTTTTTCTTCACAAATTTTACTAATTTGTTAGTTATTTTTTAGGTTGAACGATCATTCTAGTTCTATTGCTAGGAAATTTGACCCAAAATTTTGGACCCTTATGAAATATGCTTTCTAAAATTAAGGGACAATTGGTACCAAAAATTTATCCTCAAAATTTCTGTCTTAAACCCACAAACTGTAACCCAAGAAAAAATGTTTCTTTCTCCTCCCTAAGACGGGATCTCACAATACACCCTTCTTTGAGACCTAGCATCTTTGTTGGCACTCGTTCCCTTTTCCAATTAATGTGGGACCCTCCAATCTACCTCTTTCGTGGTTCAACATCCATCACCGCCTTGTATCCACTCCTTTCGGAGTTCAGCCTCTTCACTGACACATTGCCATTATCTAACTTTGATACCGTTACAACCTAAGCCCACCACTAGCGAATATCGTTCTCTTTAGACTTTCCCTTTCAGGCTAGCTTCATTCTCCGATCTAAAAAATTTCAAACACGTTTAATACCAAATTGTTTTCCACCTAGAAATGTGTTTGCTTGGATAAATTCATGACGGAAGATCTTTTTCATTGAGTAACGTGTTAGTCTTCACAAATTTTACTCTTTTGTTAGTAATTTTTTTACGTTGAACGATCATTCTAGTTCTATTTCTCCTCAAAATTTCTCTCCTCACTCCAAAATTACAACACAAGTTTTCAGTCTTAAATCATTTGAAAGCAAAGAAAAGTTAAAAGATCCATAGTTATCTTAAAGGAATGATCTCACTATCCTTGAAAGTGCATACACCAAATCTACCATTAATGCCTTTTCCCCCTCTTTTTAATAATCCCTTACATTATTAGAAGATTACAAGTTCATTCTCAAATACATTATTTATATTTGGGGACATTTTATTTGGCAGGCAAACAGGGGTGATTATTAATGGAAGAAAAGTGAGTTATTGTAGACATTCTTAAGGAGCTGGATGTTGCATTGAGTAAGTAAGCTGCATAATGCTATTATCATTGTTGTTTTGAGCTTCAAAAACCACTGATTATATATATGTAAACTTAAAAGTCGAGCACCTAGCTGCACTATGCTATGCTATTTCTGTAGCTTTATTTTTTGCATTCTGATGGTGTATTAGAGCTTTTCAATTCAACTTTTACTACTTGGATTCATTGTAAGGGTATTAAAGAGTAGTTTCTAAAATTGTCTATTGACACCTCATAGATTAGCTCTAAGTTTTTTAATGCTACTCTTAAAAATTTATAGCATTTGTCGACTTAGAGTCTGAATTCTTGTGTTCGAACTTCTATAATGTCATTTTCTCTCCAATTAATATTGGTTTTCATTTTTTCACGGCTTATTTTTTGGTTGATTGATGATCTAATACAATGATTTTTCCTTTCTAAAAATGGATGCTTCCAATATTTTTGTAGACATCGATATTTAAATCCTCAGGCATAGGTACAAAGATCGTAGACAAAATGATAAAAGTTGAATTATCAACAAAACCTGATGTCTGTTCGTGCTATTCATTATGATTGCTCATAAAGTTGATAGATTGAGACTCACAATGAACAAAGTGATTCTAGAAAAGTTTACTTGAGTATGTTCGAGTTTTGAACCCAAAGTTTTGCCACTAGAGAGTTTTATTAGGTTGAATGGCACTGTGACCTATACGCGTCACGACCTCGTGTATTTATAGATGTGTATAATGAGGATTACATTGTAACAAACCATGAAATCACAAATTTAGTAACAAACTAGGAAATCATAGATTCTCCTTGATTCATGATACCAAACAAGTAAATCTTATCTAACTATGTACAAATTGGCTGTTACTTTGTCATGATATCGGCGAGCTGATCCTTGGAAGATATGAGTCGCACATCAAGCTGACGAGTCGATACTCGTTCACGAACGAAGTGATAATCAACATCAACATGCTTCATCAGTCGATGAAAGATTGGATTGGAGGATAGATAGGTGGCACCAATGTTGTCACACCACAGGCTAGGCGTTCGCGCTTGCGAGATCCCAAGCTCACGCAAGAGGACTTGGATCCAGATTAATTCGGTAGTGGCATCAGCAACCGCCTTATATTCGGTCTTCGCACTAGAACGAGAAACTGTCGATTGTTTCCTTGAACTCCAGGAGATAAGATTGCCACCAAAGATGATCGCATTAGCCTTCAGTGCTTTGACGATCATCAGGATTCCTTGCCCATCAGCATCTGAAAAGGCAGTCAACAAATCAGTGCAGGACTTTGTAAGACACAAGCCCATATCAATAGTGTCATGTAGATAACGGAGAATTCGTTTGACTGTCGCCCAATGTATAGAAGTCGGGGAGGTCATAAACGTGAAGGGAATGAACTCTTCATCCACGTAGCAGAAGCATTGGTAACCGTTTTGATTTTTATTAAGAATTAAAACAAATCAATAAATAGAAGAGTAATAACTCTACCAATGTACAAACCCTAGCTTGCAAGACTCCGTATTCCAACCATGCAGAAATTCTTCAACATTCTACAAGATCTTCCTTACTATGACTCGAACACAAGGTCAAGGCTTTTACTATGACTTGAACACAAGGTCAAGGGTTGTGGGAGCCTCTTGAAAGAAAATCCTAGAGGAATTGGGGAAAGAGTTTTGAGAATTCTCGAGAGGAAGTGGGAGAGATTGATGTGTGTTTGGCTCAACCCAAAAGTTCTATTTAGGGACTCTTGGAGAATCTTTGCCAAATAATAAATTTGCACACTTAATATATTAGAATATAATACCTTGTATAAATCATATTTAAATATTATAAGATACCTAATATATATTTAATTAATTTAAATTTCATACAAATTTCAAATATATTTTTATTTAATGTATCAAAATATATTAATTGATTTAATATTTAAGTGTATCAAATACCATAAATATATTTTTCTTTTAATATATATAATATATTAAATAATATTAATTTCAACCGTTCAAATTAATATATTTTTCTTAACCTATCTCATATTAATTGTAACACTTCAAATTAAATATATTTTATCTATTTATTTAATATATTTAATATATTAAATATTAATTTGAACATTTCAAATTAAATTTATTTTCTACTTTATATTTAATATAAGTTGAACACTTCAAATTTTCTTTCAAATAAATTGAACCTTGATACTATGAGCTAGCGCGGTGACTGTATGACTATGGACCTACAAATTATAAGCTAAATGATACAAAATTAATTAATTAAACTCTTTAATTAATCAATTTCCATTCATTAACTAGGTCACTCCACTATGGACCTAGAGTTGCACTCTTATGCACTGTATGACAAGTTATGTCCATTGATATAATCATTACAAGCAAGTCGATCCTTCATGAGTGGTTCATAATTACAGCTGGGTCAAAAGTCCGTTTTACCCCTGCAATTACATCTTTCAAAGTACCACTGATTCTATAATGAACAATTTGTCTATGATCCAATCATAAACCAAGTCCCTCTCGGGCCAATGAGAGGGTGGGGCTCCATTGTTCAAGTCCCGAAATCAGTACTTAAGAGAACAACTCATCTACTTTCCTTATATGGAAATGAGTAAATTCCATAGTAGGCATATTGAATCGGCTAAAAGAGTCATTCTGACCCACCCAGGTAAATTAAAGGACAAGCCCTCACAGGCAGTAGTTTATAACTCACCCAGGATTAAAATTGAGTCGCATATGATCATCATGCGAAATATTAATCTTCTCAATTAACGGATTTATAAGGAGAGATTAAATATTTCTTGGTCCAGTCTTATACAAACTCATTGGATAGGATACCCTCACTTACATGTCTCCACATGAATGATTAGGATCAAATCATTTGTAACGATTACAAAGTGGGCTGTATCAATAGTCTTACCAAGATAAGACACCCAACCTTATCCATATACTATAGACTCTTCATGTTATTACTTGAACACAATCTTCTTGTATGTTAACCACATACTGTTCAAGATTACATCAATAACCTTGGATTTTCATACCATGGATAACAATTAAATAATATAAATTATTGTTAAAAACTAAATAATTAATTACCAGCCTTTAAGACATAAATCCCAACAAAACTGATACACTCTGTTGACACGGAAGAATATATTAGAACGTGTCAGAGACAAATATTGGAGAGCACCAACGACACTCCGATAGCGAGTAGTATCCTCAGACGAGTGCTTTTTACCACCATCCAATAATTTCTCACTAGGAAGCATAGGTGTGGGCACACCTTTGGAGGTGAGCATATTGGTTATGGACAATAAATCTTGAATGTATTTATGTTGTGTCAGAACAAGTCCATTGGAAGTATGTCAGACCTCAATACCAAGAAAATAACTCAAAATATCAAGATCCTTGACGGTAAAATCATCCCGAAGTTGTGTAAGAAGTTTCTCAGTAGCGGTAGAAGATGAGCTGATGATAATAATGTCATCAAAATAGATGAGGATATACATCTGAATGCCCGTCTTGTTAAAAATGAAAACAAAGACATCAACCTTTGAAGGTGTAAAATCCAGCTGTAAGAATATAATCTGCCGAATAGCCCAACCGCGAGAAATAGCAAGAGATAATAAGAGCCGAATGGTAGTGGGCTTAACAACTGGGCTAAAGGTATCATCATGATCAACGTCATACTGCTGTTTAAAACCCTTTAGCAACCAAGCGTGCTTTGTAGTGATCAATAGAGCCATATGACTTTTGCTTGAGTTTGAAAACCCATTTGCAATCAATAAGACCAGCATGAGGAGGAACTAAGTGTCATGTCTTATTTTTGAGAAGTGCCAGAAATTCATCATTCATTGCCTGACGCTAGAGGGGATGCTCCATAGCAGAAATATGTGAAGTAGGTACAGAGGCAGAAGACCAAACTACAGAATATGTTATTGTTCCATCTGTTCACACCTTGGGTTGTGTTGTACCAATTTGGATCATTTTTGTAAGAGGAAGTAGTCGCCAGTGCCGCAGAAGGAGTAGAAGGAAGTCATCCATTTTATGTCAGCAGGGAACAACAGTATGCCCTACTTTGCCGCAGATATGGCAGGAAGGACGAGCAGAAGGGTCACGACGATCACCAGCAGAACGAGAGGGCGCACCACCTTGAGAACAGCCACGACCACGATCACGATCCCTATGCCCACAGTTCTTTTGCTGACCACCACGACTAACATAATTGACAAAAGATCTAGGATTTAACTGAAGTTCAGCTTGGTGTTGTAGTTGGCGAGCTTCAAATGCCATTAGATGTACAAACACATCATCAAGCTTGAGGACTTCACTCTTGGTAGTCATCGAGGTGACGAAGGGATCATAGTCAAGGCCAAGACCAACAAGAAAATACGCGATCACATCATTATCCTGCAAGGCAGAGCCGGCAGCGACCAGCCCTTTGATCTTGCGAAAATAATTTGCAGCAGACAGATCGCGTTTCTTGGACGTGGTGAGCTCAACACGGATTTGATAATGCGAGCATGAGTTGACGACGAAAACATCCGCTGCAGGGTATCCCACGCCTCCTTGGACGTAATAGCGGCAACCACATCGTGAAGAATCTCCTTAGACATGGAGGAGAGAAGACCGATGGAAATGGTGGATTGAGAGGATGAAGAAGATACAATAGATTAATGAATAAACCTTAGCTCTGATACCATGTTAGGTTGAATGACACTCTGACCTACGACCTTGTGTATTTATAGATGTGTATAATAAGATCATATTTATAGATGTGTATAATGAGAATTACATTGTAACAAATCATGAAATAACAAACCAGAAAATCATAAATTTGTAACAAACTAGAAAATCATAGATTTAGTAATACACCGGAAAACCAGAAGTCATAGATTCTACTTCATTCATGGTTACAAACAAATAAATCAGCCGATTATTTAGTACATCTATTATAATATACTTATTTTTAGGAAGTATTATTGATACAGATTATTTTTAAATATTAAAATAAAATAAAAATGTTGTTAAATACCGATTAAAATATATATATATATATATATATGTTTTGAAAATAAATTGAAAAAGGAAAAGGAAAAGGGCATAGTCAAAGCGGGTTTGCACCGACCCATATTTAGACCTAACGGGAACACATGGGCATTTCTATTCACGAAATCTCTCAATTCAATTTCGATTTTTTTTAAATAATCAGCCATTCTTCCCTTGGCTATGGCGGTCGTTGAGTTTGAAGGCTGAGTTACTGATTGGGGATTTCCAAAGACTTGATTGATTTCTTGAAAGTTCCTCTCAAGGTTGCGAGGACAGAGTTGGTTGGGCTCGACTAGAATTTTTCATGGCGCATCGGTTACTGAGGGATCTGGAAGCTGATGGCTGGGAGCGCTCTGATTTTCCCATCATCTGCGAGTCTTGCCTCGGCGATAACCCCTACGTTCGCATGGTATGTTCGTTCTTGCTTCTCCTATCTTATTTAACGTTAGTACCTCTACCCCGCGAGTTATTCGATCCCGTTTTTGAATTACGTTCAAAACACCACAATTAATCACTCGAATGTTCGAATAATTCCTTTTCGAATTGTCATGTTCCTGAAAATACTCTAAATTAATGTACGTGGTTGAATACGGACCCAGATGGTTTCTGTTAACTGTTATGAATTTTATATGTGGGAAGAACAATGGATTTGTGGGTTAGTATTCACTCAAGACATGACTTTGATTTAATGAATGTGATTTCTGAATGCAGACGAAAGCTGATTATGATAAAGAATGCAAAATATGCACGCGCCCATTTACAGTTTTCAGGTGGAGGCCTGGACGTGATGCTAGATATAAGAAAACAGAGATTTGCCAGACATGTAGTAAGTTAAAAAATGTATGTCAAGTTTGCCTTTTGGACCTTGAATATGGCTTACCAGTTCAGGTTCGAGATATCGCCCTATCTATCAACTCCAATGATTCTATTCCGAAGAGCGATGTGAATAGGGAATATTTTGCTGAGGAGCATGATCGGAAGGTATGCACTTTCTGCTGGAGTATTTCCTTGGATTATAGGATAATTTCGCCTTGTAGTTGTTGGTGAAATAAATCTGGTGAAGATTGAAGTAATTGTAATTTTTCTATTTGAAAGCTTTAGAAGGTCTTTGCAACTTCGTTGTTGCTTGCTTTATGCTAATTTTGTTCAATGTTGACCATGCAGGCTAGAGCTGGTATTGATTATGAGTCCTCGTATGGAAAGGCACGGCCAAACGATACTATTCTGAAGCTTCAACGAACTACACCATATTACAAGAGGAACCGTGCACATGTTTGTAGTTTCTATATTAGGGGTGAATGCACCAGAGGTTCTGAATGCCCTTACAGACATGAGATGCCTGAAACTGGAGAGTTGTCCCAGCAAAATATAAAGGATCGTTATTACGGGTATGGTTGATCTATTTATTTTGAATGATTTGCTGTTATGTGTCCAATCTATTTATTTTGAATGATTTGCTATTTATTTTGATCTATCTATTTATTTCTCTATGATTTTTTTACAGTCATCAACTTGCATTTGGTTGCATATTTTAAGATTTTTTTGAGTTTATATCATATGATGTGTATAGTCTTCCAAAAGTAATTATTTGTTGGAAAACAGGGATTATTGCTCAGTTATTCATATGCAAACAATTGATTGGTGGCCTTTTAAATTAGAATTTAGTACTTAGTGGGATATGAGTAGTATTTCCAAAGATGAGACATTGAAGTTGTAATAGCCCAAGCTCACCGCTAGTAGATATTATCCATTTTGTCCCGTTATGTATTGCCGTCAGCCTTATGGTTTTGAAACACGTCTTCTAAGGAGAGATTTTCACAACTTTATAAGGAATGTTTTGTTCTCCTCTCTTACTGATGTGGGATCTAACAATCCATTCCCCTTGGGGACCCAGCGTCCATGCTAGCATGCCACATGATGTCTGGCTTTGATACCATTTGTAACAACCCAAGCCTACCACTAGTAGATAGTGTCCACGCTAGCATGCCATCTGAAGGTGAAACTTCTTTAGCCTTCCCTCAACTGCTAGACATACTTGATGTCTCTGCTCTTTCTCTTTTATCTATTTCTCACCTTTGATATTTTTCTTCCTCTATTTCTCTCTTTCATTAGAACACAAATCTGCTGTTCTCTTTCGATTGATACTGGATAACCTTTTCCTCCATCAAGCTACCATTGTTTTTCTCTATGAATAACCTTTTATTTGCAATTGTTTTCATGATTGTTTTTAGATCAGAAACAATTGTATAGACTGAAATCATAAGATATGCAACTTTATTTTATTTTTGATTATGGCCTATTTTTTAGATATCCTAAAAATTGATAATTGTCCTATACCTGTTTATCAAATAATAATATATACTTCCTTGCTTAGAATTTCTTGCCTTGGAAATTCTCTCTTTCATAAAAGCCTCGACATTGTATGATATTTACGTACTCATTATGGTGATTCCTTGTTTTAAATTGATGGCATGCAAAAGCCTAGTTCAACGTAGGAGTTAGTGCTTCTGTGTACAAGAGTTTGATGTCTCTGATTCAGAGTTGTAGAAGTCTCTTATTGGGTATAGGATTATAGTTGCCAACTGCTATGCACATTGGCAATTTTCAAGAAATCGAGTGAAAGAATGCAAGGGCAAACATAAATTGAACCCTACAAAAAATAGCATCTCAAAGAGAGAGAGAGAGAGTGCTAAACTAGAACCTAACAAATATACTCCTAACATAACAAATGATTATACAAACGTCTCTACAGATTTATACCCAAAGAGGGGCATTATGTCTCTGTTGAGGATTGTTGGAGTCCCACAAAGGCTAATTAAGGGGAAGATCATAGATATATAAGTGACCCACATTGGCTAATTAGGGGGAATATCATGGGTATACAAGTGAGGAACACTATCTCCATTGGCTAATTAGGGGGAATATCATGGGTATATAAGTGAGGAACACTATCTCCATTAGTATGATGCCTTTGGGGAAACCAAAAGAAAGTCACGAATGCTTATGCTTATCATATTAGTGTGGAGGTTCGTCGCTCTTAACAGCCTCTAACAAAGGATCAAGCACTCTTGAGAATACTACTCTTCCTTATGATGAAACAAAACTTCCTCCATCGCAAGAGATTTATAATCCTCCATCGCAAGAGATTTATAAGGCCAGAATCCCTGCTATGGGCCAAACTAACCTCAAAGGTCTCCAAAATACAGTTTCAAATTGAACGAGTGAACTGACATCTCTATAAAAAAAGGGCTCTTGTACATCTTCCTAAGTAAATGCACCAATTGGCCCAACAAAGAGGAGGAGGTATAACTCGAGCATCTACGCTGGAATTGTGCTCGAAATGTTTCATTTATGAAAGGGCACACGTAAGCCATTTTGGAATTTGGAGCGAGTTAGCGTTGATACAGGTAGTTACCCTCACTTATCAAAGGAAGAGTACTCATTAGCAATTTGGGAGTTAGAAAGGATTTAGCGAGTATACGTGGGTTGTTGTGAGCGGTATCACATTTAATTTGATGGTTACATTCCGATCATAATGACTGAAATAGATGGCGGAGATATATTTCATTCACATTTCGGTCTTCTATTTGCAAAAATGTTTAAAAATGTTTAAAAATTGCTACATATTGTCATTTAGAATGTACGCAGATATATTGCTAACAAGATTACCTTCTTTTCTAACCAACTCAGGGTTAATGATCCAGTTGCACTGAAGCTTCTTAACAAGGCTGGAGAGATGCCTTCTCTGGAGCCTCCAGAGGATGAGAGTATTAGAACCTTGTATGTGGGCGGCCTTGATGCTCGAGTCACCGAGCAAGATCTTCGAGATAACTTTTACGCTCATGGTGAAATTGAATCCATCAGAATGGTGCTACAGAGAGCATGCGCTTTTGTAACTTACACCACCAGAGAAGGTGCAGAGAAGGCTGCAGAAGAGCTTTCCAACAAGCTGGTAATCAAGGGCCTTAGGTTGAAATTGATGTGGGGTAGACCTCAAGCACCAAAACCCGAGTCGGAAGGTTCTGATGAAGCGAAGCAAGCTGCGGTGGCTCACAGTGGAATGTTGCCTCGAGCAGTTATCTCGCAGCAGCATAACCACTTACACCCTTCAGGCAGTCATGATCAACCTCAAGCTATGCACTACTACAATATCCCAGCACCACCACCGCAGCAGGAGAGAGCATTCTACCCTTCAATGGACCCTCAAAGGATGGGAGCTCTGGTTTCAACCCACGAAGCTGGGGGGCCTCCTAGCGGACCTGCAGGTTCAACCGAAACTCGACCTGGTTCCGAGAAACAACACCAACAAGGACATCAATTTCCCTATCACACAATGCACCCACCACCTCCTACACAATATCAACAGCAATTTTATCCGCCGTATGGGTACGTGCAACATTATCCCCCATACCCTCCTTATCATTCGAGCATGCCTCCCCAGCCCCTGCCCCACCCCCAACCGTATCCTCCTTCAGGTACCCAGCAATATCAGCAGCAGTCTATACCACCAGGCTCAGCCCCTCCATCCCATGGAGGAGCATCTTCAGGTTCAGCACCACAGGGATCGACGCAGTCAGTGTCTGCCCCATCTGCAACACCTTCCGAACCTGCATCATCGTAGATCAACTCTTGAGGTGCCGAGGCTGGCTGTTGTCGATTCCGAAACTGAATATAGTCGCTTGGACGAGGAGGTGCAGGACCTCTCTGAGTCGGGAAGGCATTAGCCAGCCCCTGTTGTTGTCTTTGCCTTTGTTGTCATGACTTTATTATCTAATATGACACTCTTTTTACTCAGACACAGGGTGAGCAGTTTGGATTTGTTGCTTCCATTTCCCAATCTTTTTCTAGGCGAAGTTTCGTTCTTGTGTTAGTTTGATCTAAAATGAAATGGAAATTAAATTCGTTTATTCTATTTTTAATTTATTGATTATCCAACGTTATTATTTTTGTTTTTTTGCAATTATAATTAATGAAAATATTGTCTGGAAAATCAGAAAATAGCAAGATTTTGCACTCTTTTTTCTGGTTCAAATTTACTCTTCCAAGGCTATCCTTTTTCCATTTTTATAGACCGTTGGATTATTTCTTCCGTCTGAAGATCGACAGGTGACATTCTGCCACGCGCTTGATGTCCACGATAACATTGCGTGTGCTGGACTCTAGACTAGTATTTCCCGATTTGAAGAGGCATTTGTATACGGAAGCGAAACTTTTTTAATTGCGTTTTAAATTTTGATTTGATGTCCGATGCTCCAGAAACTTCTTTTGGCTTGGCGGGTATATATATCGCTTTTGCCTTTTTCGTACGCAGAACTCTCCGATGCTTTTACTATTGAGCTTGAGAGCCAGACGTTTAATTATCTTCCCGCGAATCGCCGTTCTGTAGGCCGCTGTGATTGAGTGAGAACTGAGAAGAACGCTCGGTTACCTTGTGCTTCGATTTAGGTTTTGCATTCGTTGATTTGTGCGGTAGGTTCTTTCTTTTTCTTTCATTTGATGAGTTTTCATGTCTTTTCGTTGTCTGAGATGAAATGTTGGGGCTCTGTTCTAAATTTTCATTTGAGGTGCCTATGATGATTTTTACGGGAAGAATTAGGTTCGGGTTGTAATTCTCGTTGTTTTATGCGATTTGCATGAATGTTTTAGGTGGAATTAGAATCTTTTCGGAGTACATAATGTTTGAAGTTTGCAGTTCTTCTCTTGGTCTGAGGATGATATGCTTAGGGTTCTGGTCCACATGTGCGTTTGATTCTTCTTTCTATGAAAATTATAGGAAGAATTAGGTTTGGATTATTAAGTCATTCATTTTAATCCTATGATTATTATACTCATGGGAAGCAAATGAAGTGCTTGCTATAATTTTCGTGGATTTTTTCTAGTTTTATCAGAATCGGATTGGAGAAGGTGTTATTAATTATATCTCTTTCCATTGGAAGGCATGATGTTATTATTTTCTTTCTTTGATTGCGTTTCGATGAATTTTCAATTGGCGGTTCCTGTCTATACGCTGTTCTATTCAAGATGACATTCATGCTCAACAATACTATCATCGATTCTGTCTTTGTTGACTCTTGTGCTTCTTCAGTAAATCCCTATCGAATTTAGTTTTTTTATGTTTGATCTGGTTGCAGATGTCGTACTCCCGAAGGTCTAGATATTCCCGCTCCCCTTCGTATAAACGATCGGTCTCAAGGTCCCTGTCAAGGTCAAGGAGCCGTTCAAGGTATTTCTTGCACATAACCATCTGCTTGCTTGGTTTTCCATCCTCTTAATCGCAAGGGTGGTGCATTTATTTTTTATTTTTTTGGCTACTTGATTTGTTTTTCAGGAGTCCTTCAAGTGACGTTGAAAATCCTGGGAACAATTTATACGTCACCGGTTTGTCACCTCGAGTAACTAAAAGAGAGCTAGAGAAGCATTTTTCTGCCGAGGGAACAGTACGTTCTTGGATTCTTTTTTTTTTTTTTTTTTTCCCTTGGCTTGTATACTTAGTGGCTTTGTATATCTTTTGTCCTTTTATGTTATCTTTTGTGTTGATGATTGAAATTATGGGCTATTTTATCAGTTCTTGTGATTTTCTTTTAACTCTCCAGGTGCTAGATGTTCATCTTGTGGCTGATCCGTGGACTAGAGAATCTCGTGGATTTGGATTCATTACCATGTCTAGTAACGAAGAGGCTGAACGATGCATCAAATATCTGAATCGATCTGTACTTGAAGGTCGTATAATTACTGTAGAAAAGGTAAACATAGAACCGAGTATTATTTCATAGACTTAGGGTGCTTCTCATTATTACTGTTGTCTTGTTCTTTAACTTTGAATATTTACAAACTCTCTGGACAGTTCATCGTTAGAGATTTGAATTTTTTGCTTCTATGCACTTGAAGTTTTTTTGACAGCAGGTTAGCTGTGTGTAGCAGCTCTTCATCAAACTCATAACTACAACTAAACAATCAAAACAAACACATGAAGTCTCAGAACATTGGGGTTGTATGCCCTGCATCTCTTTATTTCTGCCAATTGAATCATGTGTTATCTCAGTATTTTAGCCTTTTTCTTTTTCCTGTTTGTCTCTCTACACTATGACTTCGGCCCCTGCTGGTACTTCTCTTAGATGGATATTTGAGTTATCTCATTTTTTATCTTTAATAATCTGATAGGCTCGAAGACGGAGAGGTAGAACCCCAACTCCTGGGAGATATCTTGGACTTGTTAGAACAGATAGTGGTGAGATTTTAATCTAATGTTGGCTTATTGCTGTGAAGTGTGTTGATATTTCTGTCTAACCCGTTTCATTCTAACAGAGAGACACAGGTCGTTGCACAGCTACTCTTCTCGGCGTTCTCCTAGCTACTCTCCATATAGAAGCTCAAGTTGCTCATCTCATTATTCATCTGATCGTAGCAGGAGTAGATCCTATTCTGTTGACCGACACCAAAGATCGTTCTCCCCTTATAGCCGTCGAAGATATGATTCTCTGGACTATAGGCATCATAGGTCATATTCTCGATCCCACTCACCGTATAGGTTACCTACGAGGAGACGCGAGAGGTCTTACTCACCTTATGACTGTTATTCCCCTGAACCTTACTATAGAAGGCACAGGCATTGGTCCCTGTCATATTCTCGATCCCGCTCACCGTATAGGACACCAACCAGGAGACGTGACAGGTCTTACTCACCTTATGATTGTTATTCCCCTGAACCTTACTATAGAAGGCACAGGGATCGGTCCCCTGAACCCTACTACAGAAGGCACAAGTATCGGTCAGTTTCTAGGAGCCTTTCACCAAGGAGGAGAACCTTAAGGAGTTACTCTCGCAGCCCCTCCCAGGGATCGAGGAGTAGTTATTCACGTAGTATTTCCTCTGAACGAAGCAGTAGATCAGGGAGCTATTCACGCAGTGTTTCTCCTGAATCAAGGGGCTCAAGGAGTCGCTCTTGCAGCCATACCCCGAGACGACGTAGCTACAAGCATTATGAGAGTCCACGTAAGAGAGGGCATTCTGGTGGGAGTCAATCGAGAAGCCAAAGCGTGGTTTCAAGGTCTGTTAGTCCTGCTTGATTGACTGATCTACAGACATCCTCATATATATTTTATGTACTTTTGAAGGCGCCTCCGTGGGTGGAATATCATATATTTAAATTGTGATTTGGGACTTGAGCGTACTGTATTAGCTATTAATAGTTTGCTACCATTTTCTGCTAATATTTTGATTTATTTAGCATGTATTTCCTATTCTGTTGGCGTTGGTAGCTTCTGATATCACAGGAGACTTTATCATCTCTCATTAGTAAGATGATGGTCCCCGTAGTTATGATGTTCGAATTTTCAAAAAATTTACATTAAAAAAATTCTAATTCGGTTGATCTCTTGGTTTCTCCATTCTCTTCAAACGATTGGATTTGATCCGGTCGAAATCTTTGGTGGGGTCAGTTTCTAAGATCAAAGCCAGTTTGAAAATTCTATGCTATTTTACTAAGCTGTAACGTATCTTCCACACAACTCCTCTAAATATAGCACTTGTATGGTATGGTATAATTTGATCTCCACTTGATTTGGCTGGTTGATGACTTACAAAAATTGTAAGGTTGTTCGTTAAGAAAAGATCGAGCTATACATTGTAAGATTTGGTCTGATTTTTCACCCACACTGAAACTGCAGCCACTACTAATCAGTTTCTTCTTCGAAATTTACCCTCTTGCCCGTAGAAAACATGATGTAGAAAAGCGCGGCCATGAAATAGAGAGCAGAGGTTAGCAATAGAAATCCTTGGAAAGAGCCCACAAGCTCCACGAAGAAACCAACCCCAATTGTTCCCACAATAGCAGCAAGTGTCCCAGCAGTGTTGGAAATGCCTGTAAGAGAGGAATTTGGTATCAGTTTTTGGAGTATCCTTGCAGCCGTGGCAAGAATCAAAGAACTTGTCTAGAAAGGAGAATTAAAATTTTGATTCAAGCTGGTATGATCCGATTATGTTTGACTTCTTTTTCATTATGCAGTCGTGGGTTGTAGAAGTTGGTTACAAAAATATAACATACCGTGAAGCACACCAGAGTATTGCGGAGCAATTTCCTGTCAAAGATATGGAGGAAAAGTTCAGAAGTGCAAGAATTGAAGGTTAACTAGAGATCTCACAGATTTGATTATTCCACCTGAAGGTTCACAAGGAAACCTGAGTGGCTGAAAGATTTCAGTCCAACTGCCAAAGTTAGCCACGCCGATGCAATGGATGCACTTCTGGCTGAAGTGAGGCCGATCAAGGCAACCCCAGGGCCGATAAAGCCTATCGACTGGCGTACGAACAAAAAAGAAAGAAAGAAAAAAGGGCATGAATAGCTGAAATTACAAGAGGTAATTGAGGACAAATACGGATGTGGAGAGAGGAAGAAGATGCAACAGGTCAAATAGAAGAGAAAGAACGTAGTAGTTTTCAGTTTCTAGGTTGTTGCATTAGAACACTAGCTACTTTTCTCGGTGAATCACAACTGTATACAACAAGTAACTTCTTTCAATAGTCAATTAAAATAAATCCCATCATCTAATGTCCCAAAACATGACCAATATCTGTTTGCTTCAACTCTTTTGCTAATCCCAGAGATTTGCCGATTTCAAGGGGAACGAAATCGACTAAATCCTATTTTATATATGTGACAAGTCTAAGAGTCCTGTCTTGCATAAAGAAAATCCAATTTATGGAGAAAAAGATCACAAAGAGTAGCAGTAATCTGCGACAAGATGACATGACATTGCAAAAGAATGAGTAGCTAAATGACTAGCAATTCAAAAGTACATAAACAATGTAAGACTTATTGCTTCTTAGGAAGCCAGAGCAAAGTGCTGCTTGTACATGATCCCAATCCTCGGTTAAATATTTCATTTCTACTGATTTTGTTTTTCTTTTTTTCTGAAAACAAACGGATTGCCTAGAATTCAATGAAAGCTGGTTGTAAAGAAAAGTAGAAAATGTTCACCTGCATAATTTTTCGAGTCAAAGTGATAGATGTACCACTTCGTATTAACCCATCTGACCACAATCCACCAAAATATCCCATCAGTGCCATCACGCTCCACGGTACAGCACTAAACCATGCTGCTTGTCTGAGGTCAACATGATACACCTGTAGTGGAAAAACACCGTCCGGTCATAAATTTCACAGAGAATTTATTATGTAGAACTTATAAACAAGTTGGCTACGAGTTCCTCACTGAGTTGAAGTAGATAGGCATCCATGAAAGAATCACGAAGAATCCCTGTAGGAAAAGAAATGCCATTAAAGTAAATGTAGTACATAAGTTTCTTCTCCCACTTCCTAAATACTCCATTCGCAAAATACAGTGAAAACTGAAATTATATGAAGATCATAAAGTGTATGGAGGTGGCATAAGTGTCTGTTATATAATAGAGAGAGAGAAAAAAAGATAAAGATAAAGAAAAAGAAAAAGAAAAAGACATCTTTAGAACTCGTAAGATAGAACAAGTCCTTATTCCAAGTAAGGTTGTAAAAAAGAGGCATCCGTTGACCTAAGATGTGTTGAGGATTGTTGGGAGAGAGTCCCACATTGGCTAATTAAGGGAAAGATCATGAGTTTATAAGGAATACATCTCCATTGCTATGAGGCCTTTTGGGGAAACCAAAAGCAAAACATGAGAGCTTACCCTCAAATTGGATAATATCATACCATGGTGGAGATCTGTAATTCCTAACATGGTATCAGAGTCACGCCATTAACTAAATCATGACAATAAAATCTTCAATTGTCGAACAAAGAAGTTGGGACCCTCATAAGTGTAGTCAAAAGTGACTCAAGTATCGAACAAAGGGTGTACTTTGTTCGAGGGTTCCAGAAAAAGGAGGCGAGCCTCAATTAAGGGGAGACTGTTTGAGGGCTCCATAGGCCTTAGGGAAGGCTTTGTGGTGTACTTTGTAAGAGGGGAGGATTGTTGGGAGAGAGTCCCACATTGGCTAATTAAGAGAATGATCATAGGTTTATAAGTAAGGAATACATCTCTACTGGTATGAGGCCCTTTGGGGAAGCCCAAAGCAAAGTCATGAGAGTTCATGCTCAAAGTGGATAATATCATACCATTGTGGTGTGGAGAGTTGTGGTTCCCAACCAGATGGATTTATCCATAAGGCTGTAAAAAAGAGGCATCTATTGAACTGAACTAAGATGGATTTGTCCATCTCTTTGTCATGTAAAAGCCACAGAAAATTTTGGCTAACAGATCAGTCAATATCTTCATTACAAAAGCCCACCAGAGAGGATCCTACGAATTAAATGGAAGGAAATGAGTTTGAGCAGTACCCAACTATGCATAGCATTTGCAACGATGAGAGACCATGTTGGCATTTTAGAAAGTAGCCGCTTGAAAGGAGGAATCACAGTGGTCCTGGGTACGTTCTCAACCACTAGAGGTTGTGGCCTCTTGTTCAGTACATATTCTAATTCGTATTTGGATATCTGAAGATTCCGATCAGGAGTACTGGATATTGCAGATAACCATACCAAAACCCATAAGAACCCTGACAACCCAAAAATAACAAATGGTCCAAATATACCAGCTTGAGACATTAGGATTGGAGAGAGCATGAGTCCTATGGCACTTCCTAACTGAAATCCAGCCATTGCTATACCAACGGCCCTGGCTCGTTCTGTTGGAGGAAACCATCTACACGAGAAAGAGAAGGGTTTATACCATAATTTGGTTTGTGGTCATCTAAAAGTACAAATCAGGAAGCTGATAATCAAATGATCCATCAGCAGAAAGTTCAAAATCAATATTACCTAGCAACCATGTTGTTCATACAAGGAAGGGCCACACCTTCAGCAACGCCAAGCAAAGCACGCATGGCAAGAAGTGCCCATAATGAAGTTTCAGCGGCCCAAGGAGTTAGAAATGTGGCCAGTGACCACAAAGCCACCCCCCAGGCCATGACCGTCTTGCCACCGTAGTAGTCCACCAGCGCTCCGCCGGCTATTGGTGAAACAAAATAACCCCAAAGGAACGATGACTGCATGAAGTCCAATTCGTTAAAAGTTGCAGGCGATAACATTGTTCAAATCATATACTGTTAGATTCCTAATAGTGCTAACTGAAGTCTAATCTAGAGAAAACAAAATCTCAAACTTGCAATAAATAAGTGATAGAAAACCGATCGGCTAATGGTTAATTTGCGACGCCTGGGAAATTGTCATGAAATATCATACGAAGAAGCATAAATAGTCACTACTTCCATCAATTCTATATCTTACACATGTCTGTAGAAGCTAAAACTCGCAGAAAAGATAATACTTCACTCCTAGAGGACTGTGCTGCGGAAATAAAACAGAGGAAGAAACCAGCAATTGTTCTGCCGCAAAAGTAATTAACGAGGAGTACAGCTACCTGAACTATGCCGGCGAACGATCGACTCCAGCCATGGGATAAAGACAACGGAACAATAGCTACCGACATCACAACCCGATCGGCGTTACAAAGCGCAAGAGCCAAAGCAAGCATGGCCACTACCTTAACCCTCTCAGACGTGATAAACTCGAAGAAACTCGGCGCCTCGACATCCTTATCCTCAGCAAACGAACCGAACTGAGCATCGTTCGAGGAAACTCCAATTCGAGACGGAAAAACGAATCCAGAAACCAGCGACGAACCATTCCGAAGTCCAGAACCGGGGAGACATCCCCCCGACGAGAGGCTTCCGGTACAATTTCCCTTGGTCAATTGGAAAGACCTTGAAGGCAATTTGAATTTCGCCGGTTCATGTTTGATTGGCTTAGGGCTCCGGTCACCGGAGAAGCCCCGACAGCGTACCGGTCCGCCGAGAGCGATTGCAGAGTTCATAGTGATCAAGAGACGGAACCACTGACCACCGCGCGAAGACTGAGACAGGCCTGGATACTGCGAGTTTGAGAGCGGACTCCGCCCGGTATTTGCGTTGATTACCGAAAATACCCCTAAAATGTTTAAGACTTATATGGTAAAATGTGTAAATAAATGAATATTAGAGGGGTAAGACTGAGATTACATGTTTCCATGGTCCAGTCCATCATATTGACCTTGACGGTTCCCCTTGGTTGTAATGTCGTTCGGGAAATGTAAATAGCACCTACTTAATTTAATTAGTCCCACATCGGAAATATTTCAGGAGAACTGCACCAAATGCCAGTTTAAAAAGCGCCTGAGTTCATTCTGTAAGGCATACCTTTCTCGGCCTTTTGGCTAAGATCAAGTGTAGTATCTGTTCTTATCAGTTTGATATCTGATACGTGGGCTATTGGCCCACATGATATTAAATTAATTTTTTATGAGGGACGGCCCACCACAGTAGCTTGCTACTGGGCCCTCGTGCGTCGCCCTTGCGTTGCACTATGGTGTGGGATTGGCGCACCCCTCCAAGCACAGTAATAAATTTTTCTTTACGAATCTTTCGAGAGGGGTCTTAATTTTTTATATAAATATGGTAGCTTTAGGTTAATTATTTATTTTGTTAAATACCTGATGACATCAAACTACCAATGTCAAATAGGTCCTCCAACGTTATAATGTTTTTTTATTAGATCCCCAGAGCATTCAATATTTTCCGAAAATCAATTTATTTATTAAGAATAAAATTAATTGAAAAGCATTAATTTATTGAGCATTAAATTAATAGGATCATAACTTTTAAACAAAAATATATTTTTTGAAAATCAATAATTTATTACGGCATAAAATCAATTTTAATAGGATCACAAATTTTAAACAAATAAATACTCCACCACGACACGAATATGAGTCTGAAGGTTGATTTAAACTAAAATAATACCCACTAAGCCTTCGGTATTTGTGCACAGTGGATGGTGCTAGTCAGATGTGAGAGGGCCCTTCCACAAAAGTCATCACATCATCACATCAGATAGAGGGGTCCCAAACATGAAGGACTCAGACATATGACTATTTCAGAACATCTTCACAAATTAAGACATATGACTATTTCAGAACATCTTCACAAATTAAGGCATTCAAGAGTATTACCTCACTCAACATCGTAGCCCTTCTCCTGAAGCTCTGAAATAACCTCGTTTCTCATCCTGAACCATAGCTTCTGGGCCTCTTGCTCCAGCTTGTACTTCTCTAATTCTTTCTCATAGTTATAAGAATCCTTATCAAAATCAACCATCCCCTTTGGACCGATCGCCGTTCCGATCATTCCTCCCTTCGCAATGAACTCCTCCATAGCTTCTTCATCACCTGGGTTTCATAATGAACTCAAATCTAGTTATTACAATCACACTGTCCAACTTTTAGTTTAAGCAATCACCCTCAAACTAATGAACTCATTGCAACTAAACACGGTTGTCGTAACTCCATACTTCGAGTTATCGTCATAGACTCGAAGATTGTTAAAGTTGTTAAATCTAAGATCGCTCAAACTACGACTATGAGAGCTTTTAAACAATACTGATACCCAACTATCGATAGACCAGAGTTGAGTTGCAACAAACTCATACATCTATTGAAGTGATTGCTCAAATTACTAGTTTTGAAGTATCATGGCTGCAAACAGCCCTCAAGCTCAACTTGGTTTGTAGGACTTCCCCTAATTCTTTCATTAGCAATGAAAGTTATGCAACTTCCCAATTTCATATGATAATGAACTTGATGTTTTTGGGGCACTGTGATGATTTAACAAACCTGGATATGGAAACTCCCGCCGCTCGTAGAGATGAGCAAGATCTTTCTCTGCCTTGGACCGTGGCTTCAGCGTCCACCAACCAAATGGCGATGCTTCATTGTAAAGCCATGCAGCGCCGATCAGAGTATACGTACACAGCAAAGCCTTTCCAATTTGCTTCCAGAAGTAATGATCCTCTCTACCAAGTCCAACTTTCTTCAAAAACTTCTCAGTTCTAATCGATTTCCCCAGTTGCAGACCTGAGATCCCGTTCCAAGAAAACTAAGCATATATAGAATACACAAATATCGATTTCAAGCATTTTATCCAACAGCAAGTTCATATATCAAAGCTGAAATGGAAGAAACGACGCGTAAACGATTCCTAGATTACCTGTTTTAGCCTCTTGGAAGCGTTTTCGAATCATTATTTTCTGAACGCAATGATTTGTCTTTGCCGACGTTGAAAACAAGAGAACTTGAACGTTCATAGCAATCTGACCCTCTTAAGTAAGGTCGCAGTACAATATCACCATTATATCTACCAACAATAACAAACAAGCAAAATGATCAAAATAAAAAGATAAAAAGATCAGCTTAATGGAAAACTTAGGCTTCATTTGATGATTACTGAACCCATAAACTACTACAGCAACTGATTATAGTGCTGAAAGAAATTCTTCCACTAGAATGAAGCTGCAGTATAGAGTAATTAATTGATCAAATTCGATGTTCATCACACAGGAGCTTGCAAAACTGCATAATTGAAATCAACTAAACCTGCCATAAAACTGATTCGATTCCGAGGATTATGCTTCCTTTTTATCGCCCCAGAAGTTTAGAACCCCAAAATTAGCACAATGGGGGTTCGAAATTACAAAAAACCAGAAATGAACACTCAGTTTACAAAGCATACTTTTAACGTATAAATTAACAAAAAAATCATAAAAAACTCATTTGAGATTGACTTCATTTGTTTACTATCGATAAGTGCGCGGAGGTTTGCAGTTCGCGCCTCTTCTTCTGGCAGTCTCTATAGCGTTTCAAAATCATTCCTAGGTTAGAGTTGAACAGAGAAGAGAAGGAAATATTTCTAAATTTTGAATACAAGACATGAGAAGGATTATCAAACAATTCTTGTTTCGTCAAATTTGAGCAAATGGGAACAAGAAACAGAAAACGGGAAAGTCATAGGATAGGCGCTTACAGTTCAAAATCAACAACAGCAGAATTGCGAAAACTGATCTCAACCAAATTTCAAGAATTCGATCCCCCTTGTCCGCTACCGTCGTTGCAGAGGCGGAGGAGACGGCGGAGGGACTGATCTGCAATTGAATCGCAGTGACGAAGAAGATAAATGTGGACTATACAACAGCGCGCGATTCTCTCGATTGCCTTGGCTCGGGAAGAAAATTGGAAGGGTATCTTTGGTATTTTCTTAAATATTTTTCAAAGTTCGACGAGGCTGTTTTTTTTTTTTTAATTTCAAATGTAATATTTTGAAATTTAAAAATACAAATTTATTTGCATTTTTCAATTAACCTGCAATAAAGTAATAAAAATATAATATTTTATCTCAAAAATACCCTTTAACTACTAAAATTTTACAAAAATTATTAAACTACTCTGCTTAATAGACTTAAAAAAAACGTACTTTTAAGCTTTACCATTAAACTTAATTTTTTTTATTAATACTCACTTAATAAAAAATTATTTTTTTTTTAATTTTTTCTAAATTTTCGAAGTTTATGTGGGGTTTTTTTTTTTTTTTGAGAATTCTCGTCCATGTATTAAAGGCAAAGATAATTTTTAACTTTAACAGTTTTTTTTTTTAAGTTTAAAAAAATGTTTATATTAACCCAACTTTATAAAATGAGTATTTTTAACTTTTCATAAATGTTTGAAGATTAATGTGGTTCGGGTATATAACTTTTCGATGAAAAATGAGATCTAAAACACGTGTGATAGCGACTTAGAGCTATGTGACAGGGAGTCAAGCCTTCTCGAAAGTACGAAGGCAGTAAAAAATGACTAAGACTTCAAAGGAATCGAGCCTCGATTAAGGAGAGACGTACTTTGTAGGGGATGTGTTGGAGGATGAAAGTCCTACATCGACTAATTTAAAAAATGATCATGTATTTATAAATAAAAAATACTCTCTCAATTGGTACAAGGTTTTTTAGGGAGCTCAAACCAAAACCACTTGAGCTTATTTTCAAAATGGACAATATCATACAATTTGTGTTCGTCACGGAAAATTTAGCGAAAATTAATAATGGTTGGAAAAAATTAATAGCTACTTAGAATCTCAAAGCGTCGTTAAGCTGCTTAGTTTATTTGCAGCATTTTATCCAACGCCGTTAACCTGGTTAGGGTATTTGCAGCGTTTCATCAAACGCCGTCAGCAGATAAAGAGGAAGTAGGCATCTAATTTCTACAGACCCATGGCCGAGTTTAGGGCTCAGGAGACTCAGCTTTCTTCTTTTTCACCGCCACAGCTTTTTTTTCGAAGTTCCTTCACTGGTGGTGCCGGTGCCAATCGCGAAGGAATCTTTTACCATTTGAAGCCATTTCGCTAATCTGAACTTGATTTCTTCATAATTTTCTTTGGATTTTTCTACCTCCAATTTGATAACTTGTTCGGTAATCCAAACCCTAAATATTTCTTCTTGCTAATTCGCGGCTTCAGCTGTGTCGGCGATGATTATAAGCGGTTATCGAATCTGAAAGCTCGTGTCTTGTTTCTTGGAGGTACGAAATGGTAGCGTTTGAAATTTGTGCACGACTTCGTTGTTTGATCTCTGATCAGGCCCTTCCTTTCCTTTTGTTGGTTTTCGGGTTGTCAATCTCCATTTTCGGAGTTGTTCTTCGTTCCATGTTCATTTACCCGTCTTCTGGACTGATTAGCTTCTACAGTATCTATTTTAAGTAAAAGTTTTGAAAATGTGGTTCGTAATTGATTTCAATCTGAAGTGTTCGTCCACAACAGACACTATGGGAGTACATTTTCGAAGCGTTTGGCTTAAATGGCTTTCACTGTCATATATCACATCCTTGCTTCGATCAATTGATTTTTTTTTTCCTTTTCTGGATAATTCTTGCTTCTATCTCATTGTGTTTTGTAATGTTGTACAATGAAAACCACTGACTTCTCAGGTGAACTCAGGTGGAGAGGTTGATGCGGTAGGAATTGCAGCAGAAAGTTAACTTCAGTATGGGGTTTGACAACGAGTGCATATTGAACATTCAGTCTCTTGCTGGGGAGTATTTCTGTCCAGTTTGCCGATTGCTTGTTTATCCACATGAAGCGTTGCAGTCACAGTGCACTCACTTGTATTGCAAGCCTTGTTTAACCTATGTAGTTAGCACTACCAGGGCTTGCCCATATGACGGCTACTTGGTTACAGAAGCTGATTCTAAGGTTGTATCTTCTATTTCTGTGGCCATTAACTCTTGTGCTCGTGTTACATCCATCTATATTTATGCGTACAATTTCACTATTTCTTGCAGCC